TTACTGGTCACCATTTACATTACCGCCAAATAAAAAAAAATCAATATAATAGTTCTGACACTGGTCTTCTTTGAGGCCTGACAAACATAAGGGCAGACAGACATCCAACTTAAATTTCCATCTAATATCACGAGTGAAGGAACACTTAGTCATAATGCAGTAGACACTCACTGATGCTGTCAACAAAAACCATCTTCACCTTTTCAGTGTGATAAAATATGACATTATAGACAAAGAATTCTGACTAATGCTGTTTGGTCTTGCCTTACATTGTATCCCAGCTTTCTTGATATGAAAACAACCAAAATTGAATTTGTCAGTTACTTTATTCCTGTCGTTTGCTAAAATAAAGATACCCCCATTGTGTTTAGCAAAATGTATTCAATTTAATGTAAATAAAAATTGAACAGGATAAATACAAATTGAATATACTGTACTGTACAACTGAAACCATATCCTAAGAACATGGTCAAGTTAATTGTCATTGTTAAATATCCACATTTCAGTGCTTATTTAACTTTGTATCAGCATAAAACAGTACAGTAGCTGTAATCAAATTCTCACTATGGAAATGTTACAAAACAGACTACAGTATAATGTTATAATATTGGTGCAATTATGAACACACTAGGCAGTGAAAGGTTCAGGGTGACTATAGGCACGACATTGTATGAAAATGAATGAACTGAAATGAACATTTTTGTGAGTGGGCAACAGGGTTGTGTAATATGAGTGATGGGGAGATGCATTTAAAGCTTATCTTATGTTCGTACAATGAAAATAAGAAAATGCAAAAAAGCCAATTTCAGTTTCAGATTTATATGTTTCACGGTTAGTTTAGTACTGTACTGTAATTACTAATAGCAAAGGAAAAATACAGGGTGTCTGTAATTTATTCACCTGATTATGAAGCTCAATAAAAAAATTTCAGTACAAGATATCAAAACTGTTTGCTGCAATTAATAAAACAACTCCGATAATCTTTTGACATGTATTTAGCACACATAACTGCACTTTCGTAAACCTCCACATGGGCTCCTTTGGTACCACATAGATTATTAAGAACTATAGGCAAGTTTCTTTGTACCATTTGTCTCTGTCTACACAGCAGTAATTGGGGACCTGGATGTTAATTGATTTGCGGATTGTGTTCCGGGGTAATGGTTAGCCAGTGCAGTTGGCGAGTTGTCCGGTCTCCTCGGACTATTCCTTGACACTGGGTCATGTAGGGTGTGGTGGTTGTGTTCAACAGCTTCTACACCTTAAACAAATTCATGCCTAGGTGGCCCTTGGGCCAGTCATCCTCGTTACACGAGGGGCAACCATTATTAGAATACTGTATCAAGACTGTAGCCGATTTCATTCCAGGTGTTATGAAGCAAGTCCAGCATGATGGAAGCCAGTGTCTCTTCAATCCGGTGTCTTAACTCTGTGATGTTATGAACCTTAATCACATACACCTTGTCCTTGACGTAGCCCCATAAAAAGAAATCCATATGCGTATTGTCAGGGGAATGAGGCCACGAAATGGGACCATCACCCCCGATCCAACGAGCCATTGTGTTGCTATACTGTCACAATTCACGCTGGTAACAGCCCTACGAAATACATTTCAAAAGATTATCGGAGTTGCCTTATTAATTGGAGCAAATTGTTTTATGATATCCTTTACTGTAACATTTTTATTGAGCTTCATAGTCAGGTGAATAGATTATAGACACTGAATATTCAGAGATATTTCCATCAATATTTAGTGTAGAGCTCCCTGCTTCCACAACATTATCAGCCTCTGAGGAATGGCTGCCACCAACTCCTCAGTTAAAGCCCCACTGACTGAGCTTGTTCACATAGAAACATAATTTTGCCTCGCAAATTTTATTGTTCTTGGACTAATGTACTGAACTGCAATTACTATCCTTGTTAAGAGCTTAGTTTTTGAAGTGCATTAATAACATTATATCATCAACATCAAAAGTTCACAGGACAATATTATATGTTCAATCAAACACACTCGGCTACAATGTACTGTACTTGGCTTTTATAAAATTTGATGTGTGTACAGGTATAGGGCTATTATCCTGAATGAGGTATAAAGGGTTGTACTGGTCTTGACCATTATACACTGGGGTTATGGACTTGAAAAAGCCATCCTAAGGTGATCAATCATACGGTATATTGATATTAATAACTCCTGGGGAAAAAAAGTTCCCTTCTTGAGACCCTGAAGAGCCAGAGTTATCATTCAGTATATTTTTTTTTCATCTTACTGTTACATGCACACACAATTTTTCTAAAGGTTATTATATTTCATTCTATTTCATTGAATTAAAAAAATAAGTTATACTGTACTGTATAATAAAGAAATACTGTACCACAAGAAGATTCAGTGTTCATACTGAACCCATCAGACCTAGGGGTGAAGATAGTTTGTGTTCACTGTACATAAAACATCATTATTTCCAATATTAAGACTTAACCTTCTGCATTAAGTAAAAATTATTTCTTATGAAGACAATATCTAAATTAATTAAAAGTTTTACAAAAATCATAAAAATACTGTAGATATATAATTACTTGTATACATGTACAGTGACCCCTCGTTTAACGAAATTTCGGTTAACGAACTGCCTTCCATAAGGATCTTCAATTCAGTTAACGAACAAAAATTCGGTTAACGAATTTCTTACGAACCGACCTCAACATGTTTTCGCTTGCACTGACCAGGCAACCAGCTTTAGTATCAGTCCGCCAATACATTAATCAGTTCTAGGGCTTAAATTCCTTACTATTTTAGTAAATATCAAGAAGTTTATACTATTCAATAATTTTAAAAGTTTAATATTCAATTTTTTAGTCATTTTAACAATTATTGAACATAATTGAAGGTAAAGTGACTAGTTTAATGCACGGCATCCAGCCTCTTAACACAGCAAACAGGCGTTAGTCTCTCTCTGTTTTCACTGGAGGTAACATCTTGCTTGAGATTCTCTTCAACTAAATGCTTTTTTTCTGTGTTTCCAAGCAAATTATTGGTCATTTTGAAATATATTTTACATATTGACAATATATAATGCAGTGCAGTGTTGATTTAAAGAAAATAATCTTGAATTACACCAAGAGAGCTAAAATTTTATGGGTGAAATGGCGCCATGGGGTGACTTCTCTTCCACCCCAATGCCTTCTCTTCTTCCTTCTCCTCCACCCCCATTCTAAGTCCCATCATCATCATCATCATCATCATCATCATCATCCAGGAGCCTTCTACATACACACCTCAAAGTATGTGAACTTTTCTACCATTTTTGTTGAATTTAGGAAATTTTCGGTGAGCTGGAACCAATTACCCAAAAACCCATTGAAACAATGGTTTCGGTTAACGAACGACCTTCTGGAACGGATTGAGTTCATTAACCGAGGGGTCACTGTACTGTACTATACTACAAATATACACTACAGTCATATAACAAATGTACTGTACCACACACATATAAACTTGTGATGGTAAACAGTTTAAGACACTGTTGAACACAAAGTTTTGGAGGGAACATACAACACAAACTATACAGTGCTGTACAGTAATACAAACTAAATAATATAATCAAAGATGAATACTGTACAGTAACATGAATTTAACACCAACAGTTTGCCACTTAACAAATGTCATTCTTAAAAAAGTGTTCATTTGGTAAATTATATCTAACTGGGGACCCATTTCCCCTTAAGATCACATTAACATCTGGGAACATAATGGATGATGCACATTACATCACCCGAAATACTTATGCTCGATTATAGTCAACAAATACTGCAGCTTAGTCTATAAAAAATCACTAAAAATGCTTAAGTCTGTAGGTTTGGTTTAAAACACATGCCAACCTTCTAAGCAACAGTACAAGCAAAATTAGGCAAAAATTAAATATGTCACATCCTAAAAAGTTGAATGTTATAAATATGTTTAAAAATATTCATTATGGCAAAATACAGTACAGTAGTGATGTTATTTGGGCTGGCAGAGTGTTTACTGTACATTCGGCCTGATGCTCAAAAAAAAATAATAATAAATAAATTCCAGTAATCCCCAGGACAAAGGCAATAATTACTTACATATGATTGAGTCATCACTAACCAGGACATACCTACATCACCCACATTTGAACATTACACTCACATTTACTTGCCTGGATCCTATATGAGTGGGAGGTGATTAACCATACTGTACAGTACAGTCAACCCTCGCTGGTCCCACATTCTGCGTTTCCACGTTTACGCGGTACTCTGCCGAAACCGGAATGCTCACATTCCGCGGTGCGTGTACCCATTTACGCGGAGAGCGGTGCGAGCAGGGTGCGCACAAGGTCGCCCAGTCATCAAAACATTACCGAGTTCTTCACCCGCCACCCACCACAGCCGGCCCAAGTCAGTGATAGTGATAATTATAGTGAGGATATGGACTTATATGGACTTTCAGGGGTTTGACAAAGAGGCCCTGCAAGCTTCTGTGGTGGATAGTGATACAATTGATACAAGTGATACAGGTGAGAGCCAATAATCTGCCCTCTGCCTCGGAACCAACCCCCCATCCCCGTGTGCCCAGCCATCTTTTCTACTAATGTAAGTGTTAAAAAACCTAATATTATTGATATTTCTCTTAATTATTAATTGTGTGTGCATACCATCATAAAATTAAGAAGTTATTTTTACTACAACGTAGGTATTGTGTCTGAAAAAGTGAAGTTTGGGGGTCGGCCCGGTCTCTATTTCAATTAATCCCATATGTTATGTTGTTCGCTTTACGCGTTTCTCACTTTACGCGGGCCGCCGTGGGTTGAATTAACCGCATAAAGTGAGGGTTCACTGTACACTAAAACCTAATAAGGTGATTCACCATAAAATAAAAACTAAACATCTGTTGTGCTCTCCTCCCCTGATCTCTCCTTCATGTACTGTTACACAATTCCCTCCCTTGTTATCAATGGTGTCCCACTACCGGACTCCTGTCACATTACAGTACCCCTGTATACCTTTTTTTTTCATTACCTCTGCATCCTTCTAACATGATCATGCATCTCAGCAAACCTGTCTTCACTTTATCTACCACTCAACAATTAGCACCATAGTACAGTCACCCACAAAAGTCCTGTCGCCTCTCCTGCTGTTCTGCGAACCCTGAGATTCAGACTCTGAAGCTGTAGACACTGAAGCATTATTGTCCATAAATGCTTTGGCTGCACAAGTTTGAATCTCGAGGTTCATGGTTCAAGACGAGAGGCGACAGGACTTTTGTGGATGACTGTACATCTTCTAAACCATTTCACACACCACATATATTTTACTTCTGTACTTCTTACTTCTTCAAGTACAGAAGAACCTTGATACAGTAATTGGATGTAAGCAATTGCTAGGTTTCAGATTATTCCATTTTTATTGCAATTAAGTGATATAGATGGGCAAAAATTGTTGGCCTAATTTTACCCAAATTTGCCAATGTTATTTTATATACCGGTACCCCAACTCGTACTAACACAGGGTAAAAGAACACAAAAATATCTTCACTGTGTAAGTCACACAGCTCTTATATTGCCAAATGGACATTAAACTGTCCAGCCTTCTCAGTCCATTAAACTGTCCAGCCTTCTCAACCAAACATTAGTCTACAGTATCTATATGAATACCTTCATTTTGATGGTGCTCGGCCCACTAATACAGCATTGGATTATAGCTATTTTACCATGCATCATTTATCATTTTATGCTTACCAATACTTTAGTTAGTCACACTTTCTTCATAAAACTCCAAGTGTTCTTAATTTATAGGGTGTTTTAATATGATGCTGGTCTTTGGAGGATTCTGTAATAAAGATTGCCGCCAGATTATCGCGACAACACAGTAACTCCAACCCTTAGGTACATTACCTCTGTGGCTTAAATTTTAGAACTTTTGGCTCCATTTCAACTCATGTTTCAATGCCATAAATTAAGGTGGAAAGAATTACAGTATACTATCTCTCAATTCCTTCTCTGCTACTTACCAGTAGTTTATATGGCTTCCCTTGATGTTATTTTCCAATCAGTAGTTCCAAATACCTGAGGTCCAGTTGCTTTGCATCCATGTGAAGCCACAGCTACAATAACTTCTTGCGAGTCCTTCACACCATACTATCACTGTTAGTGGCTATAAAATTTTTCTTATGTAAGTACAGTGGTCCCTCGGTTAACTAACACAATTCTTTCCAGAAGGTCGTTCGTTAACCGAATCCATTGGGATATTGGGCAATTGGTTCCAGCTCACCGAAATGTACGTGTATACAAAGAAAGAAAAAAAAAAATGCAGTAAATTACACTTACTTTGAGGTGTGTAAGTAGAAGGTTCCTGGTTGATGATGATGATGGGAATTAGAAGTGGGGATGGAGGAGAAATCACCTTTCAGTGGACCCATGCTTGATGCCGTCAATTCACCAATAAAATTTTAAGTTCACTCGGTGTAATTCAAGATCATTTTATTTAAATCAACACTGCACTGAGCTATATATTATCAAAGTGTTAACTAAATTTCAGAGTGACCAATAATTTCAATGAAAAATGCAAAAATATTCAAGACACCAACAAAACAGATGTTCACTCCACTGTTTTCAAAGCCCAACTGACACCTTGTGGCTGACTCAAGCTGCTGATGGGAGCACAACAAACTAGTTCCCTGTACTGCATATACCTGTATTATCAATGTATGTTAAATAAATGTTAAAATGACTAACAATTTTCATATAAAAAATGCCAAAATATTAAAGAGCACAACTTTATTGATATTTACTCCACTGGAAACGAATGTAAACATAGAACAGCAAACCTGTCTTCACTTTATCTACCACTCAACAATTAGCACCATAGTACAGTCACCCACAAAAGTCCTGTCGCCTCTCCTGCTGTTCTGCGAACCCTGAGATTCAGACTCTGAAGCTGTAGACACTGAAGCATTATTGTCCATAAATGCTTTGGCTGCACAAGTTTGAATCTCGAGGTTCATGGTTCAAGACGAGAGGCGACAGGACTTTTGTGGATGACTGTACATCTTCTAAACCATTTCACACACCACATATATTTTACTTCTGTACTTCTTACTTCTTCAAGTACAGAAGAACCTTGATACAGTAATTGGATGTAAGCAATTGCTAGGTTTCAGATTATTCCATTTTTATTGCAATTAAGTGATATAGATGGGCAAAAATTGTTGGCCTAATTTTACCCAAATTTGCCAATGTTATTTTATATACCGGTACCCCAACTCGTACTAACACAGGGTAAAAGAACACAAAAATATCTTCACTGTGTAAGTCACACAGCTCTTATATTGCCAAATGGACATTAAACTGTCCAGCCTTCTCAGTCCATTAAACTGTCCAGCCTTCTCAACCAAACATTAGTCTACAGTATCTATATGAATACCTTCATTTTGATGGTGCTCGGCCCACTAATACAGCATTGGATTATAGCTATTTTACCATGCATCATTTATCATTTTATGCTTACCAATACTTTAGTTAGTCACACTTTCTTCATAAAACTCCAAGTGTTCTTAATTTATAGGGTGTTTTAATATGATGCTGGTCTTTGGAGGATTCTGTAATAAAGATTGCCGCCAGATTATCGCGACAACACAGTAACTCCAACCCTTAGGTACATTACCTCTGTGGCTTAAATTTTAGAACTTTTGGCTCCATTTCAACTCATGTTTCAATGCCATAAATTAAGGTGGAAAGAATTACAGTATACTATCTCTCAATTCCTTCTCTGCTACTTACCAGTAGTTTATATGGCTTCCCTTGATGTTATTTTCCAATCAGTAGTTCCAAATACCTGAGGTCCAGTTGCTTTGCATCCATGTGAAGCCACAGCTACAATAACTTCTTGCGAGTCCTTCACACCATACTATCACTGTTAGTGGCTATAAAATTTTTCTTATGTAAGTACAGTGGTCCCTCGGTTAACTAACACAATTCTTTCCAGAAGGTCGTTCGTTAACCGAATCCATTGGGATATTGGGTAATTGGTTCCAGCTCACCGAAATGTACGTGTATACAAAGAAAGAAAAAAAAAAATGCAGTAAATTACACTTACTTTGAGGTGTGTAAGTAGAAGGTTCCTGGTTGATGATGATGATGGGAATTAGAAGTGGGGATGGAGGAGAAATCACCTTTCAGTGGACCCATGCTTGATGCCGTCAATTCACCAATAAAATTTTAAGTTCACTCGGTGTAATTCAAGATCATTTTATTTAAATCAACACTGCACTGAGCTATATATTATCAAAGTGTTAACTAAATTTCAGAGTGACCAATAATTTCAATGAAAAATGCAAAAATATTCAAGACACCAACAAAACAGATGTTCACTCCACTGTTTTCAAAGCCCAACTGACACCTTGTGGCTGACTCAAGCTGCTGATGGGAGCACAACAAACTAGTTCCCTGTACTGCATATACCTGTATTATCAATGTATGTTAAATAAATGTTAAAATGACTAACAATTTTCATATAAAAAATGCCAAAATATTAAAGAGCACAACTTTATTGATATTTACTCCACTGGAAACGAATGTAAACATAGAACAGATTACTGAATTGGCAGACTAGCCCATCAGCTGATGCTCACAACAAAACGTGATGTTCGTAAGGATTTCGTTAAAAGAATTTTTGTTCGTTAACCAAATCGAAGATTCTTATGGAAGGCAATTCGTTAACCGAACTGTTCGTTAACCGAGGGACCACTGTATTTTAGAACAGAGACATTTCATGTGCAGGTTTAGTCAAGCCACAAGACTGTTATGCAGGTCTCCCTTTCTATCTGTTCTAGTCCATTTGCTTCAATATCTTGAAGAAAATAATCACTTTTTACAGAAATTTTGGCAAGGCCAGTGCTTCTCAACCTATCAGTAAGCCAATTTATTCCGCTGAAGGTAATTTGACTCTTTAGCAGAAAGAGGTGTTTACATCCCATACTGAAAAGTAAGCAAAGAAACTTTATTAATAGGTGGTACACTCAGTAGAGTATCTTATAATAGGAAATGCATATCTTGTACAGTACAATACAATACAGTACTAATGACAACATTCCAGATCAGGTGGCCAATTCAATAACAGCTTAGATTCATGTCTTCAATTTGCACATGGAGGAAATAAAGGATACATAATTGACCTTCGTTAAAAATTAAGCTATATACAGTAACAACAAATTGCTCTGCAGAAAAGCGTCGAGCCGAGAGAGTGTAGCGCGGCCAGATGAGAGGGGGTGATGCGCAGTAAAAAGTAGTCCGTGACGACGTACCAAATCACCGGGACGTTAAACGAATTTTTGGTACCTAAAGTTTAGTACCGAAACAACGTTAAGCGAGGACAAACTGTACTTGATGTGCTCTCTACTTGGGGTGTGAGCCTTGCTGGGGCACCCATATATTGCACAAATAATCATAATTGTTGATACACTGGGCCCGGGCACGTACAGAAGTTACTAGATGATGCGTGTTTACAACAGTGACATTACCGAGCTATGCATTGTGGGTAAAACAAGTGCTCGGTGAACCATCCTTACTGTCTCATATCCTTGCCTGTAGCTACATCCTCCTAGCTCTCCCACTACCAGGCCAAACCGTGTTATTGTTATTTTTCAACTCGTATTTTGGGGATGACATACTCATTTTTATTTTCTTAAGTACGGTATTCTTTTTTTTACACTTGCATGCACACACAATTGTCCATATGGAATGTGAAAAAATAAAAAAATGATTATCATAACGTCAAAAACAAAACGAGAACAAACATTTCTTATATCCACGGAGTTAGTGTCTGATTGTGAGAGAGGAAGGGGGGGGGTTGGGGATCTCAGCCTCTCCCTAACAGGACAAGTTATGAGCTGCATTAATATGGTCTTTCAACTCGTAGTTTCACGTAGATATACGTAATTTTATTCAATATTTTTTTAGTTATTGCACACACAATCGTTCATAAAGAATGTACAAAAAAATGCTTAGTATTTATCAAAAGTCAAACACATAGATAATAACCATTTCTTACGTTCACAGGAGTTACCCAATTTGCATTATATATATATATATATATATATATATATATATATATATATATATATATATATATATATATATATATGCAAGTAAATCACTGTAGGTGTGCGTGATCTAGGCATATGCTGATAACCACAAGGAAAGAAGATTATTCAAGATGTCTTGAATAAAGACGAAAGCTAAGGTGCTCCATTGTTTCCCTTTTCCCATGTGATTTACACTACACCAGCGGGTAACATTTGATGACATTACTTGAAGTGAATTGGCCTTATTTTAAAAAACCAAGGATGGTTGGTGAAGGACTACTGGGTCAGTGGATAAGTGTCACATTTGGGGTACCGGTCTTATACAGCGAATAGAGCTCAAAAGCTACTTTTTAAATGGAAATTTGGGGGGCCGTCTTATGCACCCCGACGCCTTATAGGCCGAGATATATGGTAAATGGAACAATATAAGTAGCTAACCATTAATGGTAAAAAAAAAAGTGAGTCTGCCCGTATGTAAGTGCGCACGTGTGAAAACATATCGTCAATACTCTACATAAGAATATGAAAGCAACACTTATTTACTGCTCATATATATTGAAGGGTTAAATGTTGTACTCTGTATAGACAAGCAGAGAGAGAGAGAGAGAGAGAGAGAGAGAGAGAGAGAGAGAGCACTGCCGGATGTAAACAAACCTTAATTTCCCGCGGCTTTGTTGTTGTTGTTGTTGTTGTTGTTGTTTTTTAAGGGGATTAGCCCACCAGGGCATAGGTCACTGACCCACATTGGGGCCTGAGGGGCAAAAATTTAATATTCCTGTAATAATAATAATAATTCAGATAAGTAAAAAAAAAAAAAGCTGCCTGTCTACCTATTGGACAAACTAAAATCGTTCCAGACCACGGGAGTTTCCGGACCACAGAATGCCGGACGAGAGAGGTACAACCTGTACCAGGAAATGCAAGGAATAAAAAAAATAAATACCACGTTGTTAGTTGGTTACAGATTCACTACACGTGGGGCACTAGCTATCAATCGTTTTTTTTTTGGCTCTCTTTGTATGAACAATTGTGTCTGCATGTAACGTAGTATAAAAAAAAAAAAATAAAATAAAATTACAGTATGTATAACTACCCAAAAATATAAGTTGAAAAATAACAATAACACAGCTTGGCCTGGTAGGGAGATAGCTACAGTGGCAGTCTAACTTGGTGACCTGCCAAGTCCACATACATATGTTCACTTCACACATATATACATTTTTCTTATTTTATAGCAACATATTTTTTGATAATATGCAAGTTACAGGTACACTCCATATAATGCAATAATATAACTACAATACCATAAAAACAATAAAAAAGAACACCGAGTGTGTGTGTGTGTGTGTGCGTAGATTTTTGTAAATGAGCGTAAACATAAAGACACCTGTACAGTACTAGCATTTACCATTAACGTGTGAAGAATTCTAGAACGCTCAGCGTGTTTTTTCACGCCACAGTTTGGAAGTACAGTACAGGTACAGGAGTGGGCTCCGCGACTCCCAAGAGTGAATTTTCACACACATGGTCCACGAGAACGGTCCCATTGACCTATATTAATTTCTAAACCGCTCAGGTGAAGCGGGCCTTACAGTGGAATATGAGCGCTAAAGGCAGCTCACTTGGTTTGAAATATTACTGTAGGGTACTGTAGTGCAATTTTTTCTTTGTGAATATCGAATAGGGGTGTTAAAATGTCAATTGCGGATAAGCGGGGCTGCAAATAGTGAGATATTCCTGTACAGTTCAGAAATTAATATTTTCAGAAGGTAGTTATGGTATATAGTTGTTTTTGTTTAACAGTAGCAGTCAGTCAGATGAGTCAGTTGTGTGTGTTGTGGCACAAGTCATCCTTACCCAACAAACAATGCATTTGTACTGCAGTATGTATATGTATTACAATAAAAAGGTTTTATTAAGTAATTCAATTAAAGTAAATTAATAATTTTGGTTTAGCAGTTTTCTTTTCTCATTTTTGGGTCACCTTTATTTTTGTTCCTAAAACTTATTTGTGGGCCCTTGGGAATTCAAGAGTCCCTGGGCCCAATGGGTAATCCAGTCCTGCACTGAATAGAGATGATACAATACTCAATCAGTCACCATTAATCAGTCACCATTAAAAATTAGAAATGGCAACCAGTAATTGTGAAGTATAAGTCCACAGTAGTATATACTACTGGTAAGCAGTTAAAAAAAATAGTATTATTATTATTACTATTCTTGGAAAAATGAGTGAGACGATAAAGTTAAAACTACATATCCAAAGTGATGAAAGAAATATGTACAGTTGATAAAATTTGTTTCATACATACCGTCCACCAACTTGCTTGATTGCTGCTTCCAACCAAGTCAAATGCCTATCTCCTATGCCTGGGATAGTGAGTTCCAAGTTGCCTTTAAACTCTACAGGTGCCAGGGTTGTTGGGTCACAGTCCGTGGAGAAGGCAAGGGTGATCCGTAGTTGCCTCACAGTTTTATATATTCTTAACAAGCTATTCGTCAGAGAAACGAGAGCATTAGGAGTATTTACCCTGACACGAATAGTTTTTAAGTTAAAGCAATAGGACAAGACTTCCTTGTCCATCTCCTGTTTTCCAAGAGAGCCAGTAAAATTTATGAGGTGTCCCCATGGATAAAGGGCATGAAGAAAGTCATCAGATGGCTTCTCACAATTATACTCATTATGACACCAAAAGTGTAACTCAACAAGGATGGGATTCCGTTTGTCGTGGCGGCCTCTTAGTTTCCATCGAGTTTTAGTAAATGTATCAAAGAAATCTGGAACCTCATAAGGATTAACACTATTTGGCATCTCAATTTTAAGAGACTTCAGTTGCACTCGGGTGAAGTTTAGAAATTTCAGTCCCGACACAACATGCTGGTGATCCAACTGCCAGTGTTTTGTGAGCAACTTGTATTCAACAATAATATTGCCTACACTCTCAAGGCGGCATGCCTCTACAAATATTTTCCACCAGAAGTTATAGTTGCCAGAACCAGGATGTGCTTCATCCAGTATTTTAAATGTACTTTGCAAATTATACTGCAAGATCTCTTCTTTTGCCAGGTGACCAGTTAGAAATATGAGTATTTCATGATATCTCTGCCAATCACTAACTTCCCTTTTAATATCATCAAGGCTTTTCCCTTTCTTCACGAGATTAACCAAATACCCGGCAGCAAGGTATTCCATCTGAGTCTTGTGTAGAAAGTTATACAAGTATTCGTTTGTGTCTGCATCTTCATCATATTCACACACAAGAAATGCAGACATAAATTGGATTTCATCAACATCCTCATTTTGACATTTTTTCTTAATTTTGGTCACTATTTCATTATTTATACAGATATATTCTGACTTTAACAAGAACCAAGCTTGTTCACCAAGATACAACAAAAGTTCCTTCACTTCTCTGCTCTTTGGCTTAATGGGACATAAACGTTCTTCCAATTTCTTCTGACAAAGCCTGAAGAGTTCTGAATAGAGGCTTGTGGCACTTGTAACTGAATTTAGTATGTCATGATTATCATTCCAGAGATAAATCAAGAGGGCAAGTGTAAGTGGTAGTCGAAGGTACTCTCTAGGAACTTCACATTCTTTAACATGTTTCATAAATTCCCCAACCATATTTTGGCATTCATTTTCATTACCAGTAACTGCTTTGAAAACTTTTTCAGTAAATTCCTCAAATCTGACATCATCAAAACCACAAATATCAACTACAAGATAATCTACAAAATGTTTCCTTGACACTAAGATCGCGTCGTGGTGGTATTCGTTCCGTGTCGTTAACAATATCCGCTGATTGCCAAATTCCTTAAAGATGTCATCCACTAGTTTCTTCGATGTTTTATTTGCCTCGTCAAAACCATCAATGATGAACAATACGTCTAGCTCCTTCAACACTGGAATGATATCACAAGCTTCAAATTCTTTGCACGTTTCTTTAATTCGTTGCTGTGTAAGATAATCCTCCAGACATTTTGATTTCACTGTACGAATCTCGACAAGAAATACTAAATCAAAACGTTTTAACCCAGCAAGTTTCTCATCTTGTCTATACCAGTCTCTTAAAATGTAATGACATAGGGAGGTCTTACCACAGCCAGCTTGACCAAGGAGTAGTAATGCATTAGGGACTTTCAGCTCATCACCTATTTGTTTTTTCTCTGTCAAAAGGTTTGCCATATCAATTTCTTTGTCACAATCTTCAATTTTAAGGGGTGTGAAAATCTTATCAATGTTATACTTCTGGACTGATAATGTGGGGTCAGTGAGCCAAATACAAGGATTGAGAACACGAAATCTCTGGTAATGTGTCACAAGTTCTTTACAGCCATAGACAATCATCTTGTGCTTCTTGTTCTTTTTAAATTCTTGTATGTCCTCTAGGTAACGTTTTCTGTCATCTCTACGAAACTTAGCATTACAGATGTCAAGAAGAGATTTTTGCATTGCTGCAATATTGTTTGCGAAGTCTATTCCCAAAGCCTGACCAACACCTTCGTAAATATTCTGGAGGACAAGTTTGAGGTCATCAATTTCATTCCTTATATCTAAATTAGCAGAACCATACTTATGGCTTATCTTATTCCTCAGAATCCGAAGGTAGTTGATTTTATCTTTACAATCATCACTGAGATGACTGAAAATATCAGGCAGTACTTCATTTATCATTCTAAAAGCAAATGATATATCAAATTCCTGTGTCATTAGGTTTACATCAAGAAACCTCTCTTCCATTTTCTCAATTTGTTGTTCACTCCAATGCAATATATTCTCCAGATAATTCCGCAAGAGCATTGTTCCTCCTTCAGACGTCGCTAAAGGGGAAGAATACATTGCAAGTACAACATCAACCATAGTTTTCTGTCCTATTTGGTGAACACACTTGTAAAGTTTACTGAAAATGAGGTCTTCTTCTGAGATGCCTTTAAGAATCTTGCTTGATTGTACATTGGCCGACATCATCGTTATTATTATGAACGGTATCATCATTAATGTGAGAAAAACGATGGCCAGATGGGGAGTTTCCTCCACAACTAAAGTCCAAGCATCCATCCTGCACAGCTGCTGGTCAGTAGTCCTCACAGATTATTCTCATTCACATCCTCACATCCTGGAAAGGATAATATAAGCTTACTAAATATCTCCTTTTCATCAGTATCATTATGCAAGGTCAGGGCCGGCTCAAGACCCTAATTGCCAAGGGTACCATGTAACAGTGCTATGTCTTTAGAGTAAATTGTCAGGTTTTAGAGAAAATACGGTTTGGATAAAAATTAGGTTGAGAAACAATGAGCAGTGGCTGCCTCTCGCCAAGCTGACAGGGCCCTGAGGGTGCCTTAGGCATAGGCCAATCACAGTTACCTTTGAATGTGTCATAAATGGGCTGACTGGGTGAAGACAGAAGCATTGTACCCAACAGCAAGTGCACTCGATTTCAAAATAAGGTTCTGTGTTTGGAAGTGTTTAAGTGTAGACGTGTGTGTGGGTTGGTGGGTTCAACATGGCGACATATATATACTGTAAGTAAGTGTACCCTTTGGTAAATTCCCTTTGTGCCATGTTATATTGTGAAGCTAGCTAGGAGGGCAGGCTAATGTTTTTAAAGTGTAATTGTCCATTCTGAATAACGTCATTAATAAACAAAGAACCATTAAGAATAGTTCTCAATTCCCTTCCCCTGTGTATGGAGTAGAGTATTCCTCATAAGTGACTTTGTGGTATACAGTGACCCCATGAGTAACAACATAACTATCATATACTTCCCCTTGTATATGTGTTAGTGCATGGTTTACTTATTCCTGCATTTATCATCGTCCACTCCCCCCTCCTCCTTGATGCGTCCTCTCTCAACCCCAGTCCTTCCCTCCTCCCTCACCCTTTACCTTCCCTCACTAGTATAAAGAACAAAGAAAGAAAAATAAAGAGAAATAGAGAATAAAGAAAGTGTAAAAGTAAGTAAATAAATAGAAATAAATAAAATACACGGGTCCACTGTTTTTTAATACAGTGAACCCTCGAAGATTTGGACCCGGTAAATCCGGATTTTGGAAGATTTGGAAAATAATATGGGGTTCTGGGCTTAGAAGCCTCCCTACGAAGCATTCCCAAAACAGCGTGAAGGTAGTTTTAGGCTTAAAAGTTTTTTATCATATTAAATATCACAGACTAAATTTAGCAGAATACACTTGTATAAATTCCATTTCTGGAATCCTTGCAAGATAGCAAATAATTTGAGTATAGACATTACATAGTTTGCACAAGAGATAAAATTTTTTTGTCTTTTGTGTAGTATTATACATCTGAGTACAAAGTGAGTACAGTATCATATAGTAATATGTTGCTCAAAATTATGGCCTTTTCACAGGAAAGAGTCTGTATAACTAACTTCAGTGGTCATGATAATATGTACCATATTTTTGGTGTTTTTTTTTTTATATCATTAATTATCTTTTTATACATTTAGCACATTCGCCAGAAGATTCGGACAATCGGCTTTTTCGGAGAGGTGGTCCCCCATTCCTTTAGTTCGGGTCTTCGAGGGCTCACTGTACTAGACTTCAGTGGCGGAATGAGTAAAAAATTTCTACCAGGAAAACTTGTAAAAGGGCCCACTTAATCCCAAAACGTAGTCAAAGGGACCATCACTTTGGGGCCCACCGGGAAATTTCCCGGTATCCCGGTGGGCCAGTCCACCACTGCTAGACTTGTATATGTAGAGTTATAAAAAGTACTGAACTTTGTTACTTAAGTAAAAGTATTGTTACATTAGCAAAATGTTACTCAAGTAAAAGTATCCAAATTTCAATGTACTCAAGTAGAAGTAAAAAAAAGTATCTCATTCATGAAGTACTTAAAGTAAGAAGTACTGGATTATCAAAATTATTAATTTTCTCAAATATTTAAATAAAGCCAGAGTAAATTATAAAAAACTAGCTAACTAGAGATAAAAATACAGTAAAAGACACACAGCATTACTCTTCTTCCTACAATCCATTGCAGGGATAGTAAATAGGCTGAAAATATATCCATCCAACACTATGATCACTCTTCCTTATCCACACAGTTATTGTTAACGTGGACTTATGGTCCGCAGACATGATGTTGTCTCTGCCCGCATTAGGTTAGGATACAGACCAATCTGGCAAGTATCTGAGGTGGGGGATGACCGGCACTTCTCTTCCTGTAAACTCTGCAGCTGTCCCAGCACTAACACCCTTCAACACTATTACCTCCTACCACAGGACGAGTCACTATATGTCACCACCTACTTATTCATAATAATTTGTTAAATTTAATTCTTGTACGCTACCCATGCTTTGGTGGGTGCTAACTCCTATTGTCTTTAAATTATATCAATATTGTCTCCATATCTTAAATCAGAGAGTGTCCTGCGAGACACGAGTACCAACCAGTGTATTAGTGTCTAAATGCATGGTCTTGTGACTAGGCTTCTTGCCCCCTGGGGTGTAATAAATTATTTAAATAATAATCCCAGCATGATCAAACATATGCTCACCAGCAGCATATGCAGGCACTGGGGTGTTGAGCTTGAGAGATAAGTCACATAATGTCAGAAAAGACCTCAGTAGCTCTATTCCATCCCCTAGGCATGTCAAGTAGTTATTAAGCTCTTTCAGTTGAGGAGTTTGTGGATGATTGTTGCCTCCATAGTGACTGAATATGACTAAGACTCACCGTGAACTGTCCCTTTAATTGGGGTGTGGCTGTGGTGCACTTTTTTATTCTAATTGATGAGTGGCTGAATTTTTCTCACCACGTAACATCTGGCAGTTGCTTCGAGGGGGCGGCAGTGGTACTTGGTTATTTAAGTAGGATTTTAAATACACTCAGTCTCACACATATGTATAGATACATCAGGCTTTATATCTAATATGGAATTTTGTAAAGCATTTTAGAATCACAGCCTCTTTAAAATTAATTTTAGGTACAAGTACAGGTACTATATGCAAAGAGCAACTGACTTCTAATGGGAAGACCAAGCCCCTGATGGAAAGGAGGGAAGAAGAATGAGGATTTGATGGGGAATGGAGGGATAAAAGGGTAGGCTAGGTGAGGTGGGTAGTCAAGTTGCTAATGGACACAAGAAGATCAAAGGGAAAGTCTACCGTCATGGCCACTGCCATCTGACCTGACGTTACCTCATGAGACCTCTAGGTATGTGACCTCCACACATCGTACTCTTCACGGCTCCACCCACACAACTCTTTAACTATGGTTAATAATTAATTGATTAATTTTAAAATATATTATTAGTTCACATGTAACGAGAACCAATTTTTGTTTTTTTCAATTGTATTGATGTAAATGTATTAAAAACCATACTTTAGTAAAAGTACTAAGAAATTTTAGTACATTTTAAAAAGTAAATACCTAAAAATGCTACTTGAGTACAATACTAAAGTAAATTTATTTAGTTACAGTACTTTACAACTGTGTAAATGTGCATAGGCATGACAGCATATATTAGAAAAAACAGTTAAATGCCTCGCTGAAAAACTTTTATGCAAGACCAGATGGGAATGCAGATTAGAATCTGTCAAAGTTATTAAATATAAAATTATAAGAATCTAAAAAGCTCTTTATGAGCTTTCAGAAATGCCTGCTTCTAATGCTGAGACTTGTATATCATATAAAAGTTAGGTTGTTTATTGACAACTGAAGAGTGACCGGAATCAGAATTTAATTCTTTATGATAGGAGGACAACACGTGCCAACAGGTCAGAATTGTTGGTGGAATATTTACAGTAAATACTGATTTTCTTCACGTACAAAGTGGATAAGACTTGAATTAAATGTCATATCAGTTTTTTGCCATGTTTTTACCCAGCAATTTCCCTCATCCTTCATGCCCTGCCCAGTACCACCACTTTATTATCGTACATAGAGAAATAAAGGAAAAACAATAAAAATTTACTGTACTTATACTGTAATTAAAAGAAAAACTTGTCGTATCAATTTCTTATGTTAATATTGTCCAAAGAACAACTGTGGAAAATAAGAACGAAATATATAAATGCGTCGGGTGCTAACTGTCTCCTACGTCTTTACCAGATATGCATTATGCACCTCTAGGCAGGTACGTACTGCATATACATCAGGTAAGGTCTAAGAGTTTAGGTAAGGTACTGGTATGAAAAGGTCACCGGGAGGCGTTTGTTAACAGTTGAAACAACAATACGTCATCCTCGGGTGGTCAGGAACAACAATACGTCATCCTCGGGTGGTCAGGAACAACAATACGTCATCCTCGGGTGGTCAGGAACAACAATACGTCATCCTCGGGTGGTCAGGAACAACAATACGTCATCCTCGGGTGGTCAGCAACAACAATACGTCATCCTCGGGTGGTCAGGAACAACAATATGTCATCCTCGGGTGGTCAGGAACAACAATCTCGTTGGTCAGGAACAACAATATGTCATCCTGGTGGTCAGGAACAACAATATGTCATCCTCGGGTGGTCAGGAACAACAATATCATCCTCGGGTCAGGAACAACAATATGTCATCCTCGGTGGTCAGGAACAACAATATGTCATCCTCGGGTCAGGAACAACAATATGTCTGGGGTGGTAAGGAACAACAATATGTCATCTCGGAACAGTCAGGGAACAACAATATGTCATCACCGTTGTTGAGGAACAACAATATGTCATCCTCAGGTGGTCAGGAACAACAATATGTCATCCTCGGGTGGTAGGAACAGCAATATATCCTCGGGGTGGTGGGGAACAACAATATGTCATCTCGAACGGTCAGGAACAACAATATGTCATCCTCGGGTGGTCAGGGAACAACAATATGTCATCTCGGGTGGTCAGGAACAACATGTATCGCCACCGGGGTGGTCAGGAACAACAATATGTCATCCACTCAGGTGGTCAGAACAACAATATGTCTCGTCCTCGGGTGGTCGGAACAACAATATATCATCCTCGGTGGTCAGGAACAACAAAATGTCGTCCTGGTGGTCAGGAACAACAAAATGTCATCCTCGGTGGTCAGGAACAACAATCGTCATCTCGGGGTGGTCGGGAACAATATGTCATCCTCGGGTGGTCAGGAACAACAATATGTCATCCTCGGGTGGTCAGGAACAACAATATGTCATCCTCGGGTGGTCAGGAACAACAATATGTCATCCTCGGGTGGTCAGGAACAACAATATGTCATCCTCGGGTGGTCAGGAACAACAATATGTCATCCTCGGGTGGTCAGGAACAACAATATGTCATCCTCGGGTGGTCAGGAACAACAATATGGGTAGTGCTGGAGCAGATATTATTTGTGTTAGTAAGCAAGAAAAACAACGCAACATTTTTTTATTTTAATTATTTTTTTTTTTAGTTATTCTCCATCTATAATCATAATCACCTGTAGTGGGCAGGGCATGAAGTATGAGGGGAAATTGCGATAGTAAAACGCGATTAAAAATTTACTATGACACTAAAATAATGTCTCTACGTGCTCTTTGTTTGTTTTCACTCGGTCCAAGCGTATTTTCACGCCCACAAAAAAAACATAAAATTACATCATGCCACTTTAAGGAAGTGGCCTTTATTGGTACCAGATATCAAATTATGTACTTTGTGTTTAATATGGAGAGAGCCTGCCCTAGGGTAGGAAGTTTGGTAAGGTTAGGGGTGTTTTTATGGGGAATAGTCCTCCCGGGCACAGGTCTTCGACCCACAACAGGACCTGGGGAAAGAAAATTTAGAGTAAAAAGAAATTAAAATAGAAGAGAAAAAGGCTGTATTAATCTACACCACGAAGATGCCATAAAACCAGCTTTTTAAAGTGAGACAGATTGTAAGAGTATGCAAACACAGAAGAAGGCAGAACATTCCACAGTTTGGCTGTGTGAGGAAAGAAGGATATACTATAATGGGTTATTCTAGTTTAACCGACATCCACAGAGAAACGGTGGGTACCGCAGGCAAGACGAGTTACTCGTTACGAGCCCACGGCCTTGCCGGCGATACACAGGATGCCAAATCCAGATTTCTTTAGTAAGCTACTTTTACTTTTTACTTTTATCCTCTTTGCCACTGATCAGCTCGTTAGCCATTTGGGCGGTCGGTCACGTCTCTGTTATGCACTGGGTAAGTCAGGTTTTGTGCCTTGTCATATAATTTTTAATACTTACTGTCATGCAAAGGAACATCGGTGGAATATATGAACGAAATCGAAAAACACATTTTTGGTGTTACTCATCTGCTCCAAAACACTGTGCAGTATGTTAAACTAGGGAGTAAAACGTCATCCTTGGGTTGTCAGGAAGTGTCTTTATTTACCAGAAAATTTAATGATAACAGAAAATAGTGAAACTGTAATTCCTTCACCTTTTAGGAGATATTATTGAGCTAAGAAATAAGTTTTCTTCTTTTGAAATTTTCTGTAAAATTAGCCAATAATTTAGAGGAGGGGCATGTAGACTTGGTAACTGAGCCTTTCTACAATTTTACTGGCATGATTTTAATTTCATTAACCAGTTTAACAATGGCCGTGGTGGAGGTTGGTTGTCGTTTGAGTTCCTACGATTATTTTAAGTTTATTGCCGAGTTTTATGAGAAAGACGATCAATCTATCCAGTTTTTACATATCCCTGGTCCTTCCACTTCTAACTAAGGTATTGTACTTTCAGACATGGCGCACCCCAAAGTTTTAAACTACTGTACTGAAACATTTAGGTTAGTTTAAGCTTGGCCCACCAGGGGTCCGGGGGTGGAGCCCCCCCAGCTAGGGGTTAGGTTAGGTCTACTGGGCGGTCCGACTAATTACCCAAATGTACCCAAATGTAGCCGCAATGAAGTCAAATAATGGTCCTACATAAATAAATCGGACTGCCTACCACTTCTCGACTAGTATTTGGTGTCACAAAAAATTTAAAAATTTAATTTAAACTGAGTTAATAGATCGCGTGCTTGTACCGAGGGAGCGAGTAATTACCCAAATGAACCCAAATGTAGTCGCAATGAAGTCAAATGATGGTCCTACAAGCATAAATCGGGCTGTGAATCACTTCTCGATTATTATTTGGTGTCATAAAGTCACAAAAAATTGGTAAACTTAATTTAATCTGAGTTGTATTGTGTTAGGTTAGGTTAGGTACATGCACTCGATCTATTAACTCAGATTAAATTAAGTTTACCAATTTTTTGTGACTTCGTGACACCAAATACTAGTCGAGAAGTGATTGGCAGTCCGATTTATTCATGTAGGACCATTATGTGACTACATTTGGCTACATTTGGGTAATTAGTCAGAAAGCCCCCGGCTAGGAGTTAAGTTAGTTAGGTTAGGTTTTGTTAGGTTAGGTTAGGTTAGGTTAGGTTAGGTTAGGTTAGGTTAGGTTAGGTTAGGTTAGGTTAAGTTAGTTAGGTTAGGTTTTGTTAGGTCAGATTCGTTTAAAACGCAACAAATTACACCCTAGGGCCTCATATCCTAAAGTAAAAGTTTACCCAATTAAAAGCACCAAAATACACTAGACAAAATACCTCAAAACACTTATGAAAATTTGAGATAAAAACGAATTTTTACCTTCTTATAATTTAAATTAAACACTGTCGCCTTTTAAAATACTTACTATAATGATAAGAACACCTGTGGAAAATATACTAAATCGAACAACTCCCGGTGGCAGTGTTGTTCCCAGGTATTATTATTAATTTATCATAAACAATTATCTTTGTATTATTAGTTAACATTATAAATTGTCCACCAAGCACAGCAAATCAATCATCCTAAGAGTTCCTGCAATATACATAACTGTCAAGCAAAAACTGCTCTAAAGTAATCTCACAAGACAAACATATATTCTTACCATGAGTTTAAAGGTAGAGACTAATGGACAGGGTGTGATAATGGCTCAGGTCACCACACCCACAGGTAGAGACTAATGAACAGGGTGTGATAATGGCTTAGGTCACCACACCCACACACAGCTTCCTCACCTGCCCTGAGTACCACAGCTTCCTCGCCTGCCCTGAGTACCACAGCTTCCTCGCCTGCCCTGAGTACCACAGCTTCCTCGCCCGCCCTGAGTACCACTGGAAATTAAGCTGCATGACAACCATAAGTGACTGACAAATGCGTGGGCCGAGACACCGAGTTGCAGGTCTCACGGGTGCACTAAATTCCACTAATGCCAAATTCATTCAGATTCATTGCCAAATTGAGTGTTTCAATGGCAAAATTTCCAGACATAGAGACAACTAACAAAATAAGAATAAATGTTAGTAAATATTTAGTCATAACACCCTTACAAACACTGCAGTACCTTAATTTTATCACCAAAAAATTATCATCTATAATTTAATTAATGTATTATTATAATTTATAAACTCATACACACAAGGTACTAAGAACTTATGCTAAATGATACAATACCAAAACACTCTTGTACTGTTAATACTAAAAGAGTAACTTGGCAACTGTGATTATTACACCATGATTCACTGTACGTGTTGGTGACCTGGTGAGGAGGGGACAGCACCCACTGGTGTTGCCTCAATGGATACCAAAGAATCATTTGCATACTGTGTCGACCTGAGGCTTATGTTTTTACGACGCTGAACAAAATTATACGAAATGGCAGAAATTGTAAAAAAAATTTGATACTATTTTCCGGATGATTTTGACATGCATATAAACAAGGGTAACGTGAAAGGGGATATCGACTTTATGCTCTCCAACACACGGGTGACTTTTGTTTGTTATCTTCTGCCAAAAGAAGTTAATCCCGTGTTGAAGTGGGAACCTCCATAGCAATGAACTACATTGGTGGGCCTTGATTAGAAAACCCTTATTTTTTCCTATTTCCCTCCATCTGTCATGGTTATGCAAAAGAAACAATAAGTATATTACAGTTTGGCATATCGAGGTAGGGAAGTTAAAAGATGGAATCCTTTTAAAAGGGGAATTCTCTCTCAGTTCCACTACACACGTTACGTTCCTGTCTGTTCCCAAAACTTCCCTCTTTTATTTTGTTTGTTTTTCACTCAAGGACTGAAACTGAGCATACAATGAAAGCACAAAGAGATATATTTGTTGGTGAGAACTGGAAAAGAAAGTATAAGGGAATAATAGTTAAAAATAGAAAAAATCAACAATCTTGTGATATTTTTAAATAACCACTATGGAAAATACTATAATATTATTTTGTTCTTGTTTGTAAGTATCATTTTAATTTATTTCATTATTAGGATCAAACCACCATGTTATATTACGCTGTTTAGTCTTTGATTTGTTACAACATTTACTTGTGTGTTATTTCAGATATGTAATGAAATGAGTCAAGTAAAGCATGGATGGAGCAACCAAGTGACCAAGTGTGTTATTTATCACACTTGGGCATCCTGAAAGGCATTCTATTTCCACTCCGAAGAAAGTTTTTTTTTCTTTGTTTCTAAAGGACTGAGTGGGAGTATATAATTCGATATTCATAGCAAAATGCAGTGTACATAGGGATAGCACATAGCTACAACTTCCCAATAAATCGCCGAGGTGAACTGAAAAATAAAAGAGACGAAAAACAGAAGGCAACTCTAAAGGCAACGGGCGCACAGGGTGTCAAGGAGATTAAGACACCAACAGGAGGCAGTTAGGTTTTTTTTTTTTTCTTCTTCCATTATAATTAACATTGAATTGCCATAAGGGCACGATCACCTCCATATCTCACTTTACATAAACTTTAATTAGTAGATGTGATTATTAAGGAAGTCATCCCACTGAGGTGTATATCTCTTGCTTAGATGAAATAAATTGTGCTTGCCCGGTTGACCAGGCAGCGGAACTGGGCTATTAAAGGGGCCTTGACGATATGGCCTGCTACCAGGACACAGAATAAAAGCAATTATCACAGTAATAATAAGGATCAATATTATTATTACTATTAAACCGACAATTAGAAGTGTTTCTAAAGGACTGAGTGGGCATATGATCCGTGCACCCAGATCGCACGGTAAGGCAGAGGGAACAGCACAAAAAGCTCCTGTAGGGCTTGAAGCAGAAGAGGGAGGAATCAAGGAGGAACGGGGACGGATGTACATGGATTATATTCAGGAGGAGGGTAGTGGAAGCAAGTGTGCCGACACAGAGCCAGAGAGCAGCAGCGCACCCACCACCCGTGCTGCTGGGTGCGCTGCAACCAATGACATTTCTAACCACACCCTGTAAAATACAGTGCACTTAGCAAATGCTGCAGCTTTTGAGAATGGAGGGAGGCCAGAGTTACTACTAAGAGCAGAGACGTTACCGAGAACAAATTTTGGTTTGAATGTCATGTTCAAAGGAGGGCCACCAGACTGGTGCCTGCACTTCGGCACCTCAGCTACCCTGAGAGTTTGGAGCGCCCGAACTTGCCTATCTTATACTACAGACGGGCAAGGGGTGACCTCATTGAGGTGTATAAGCATCTCAAGGGGCACTACTCAGTTGAGTGTCCTTACTTGCAGCTGGCGGACGCTCGCCCCACAAGGGGTCACAGCTCAAGATTGAAGAAGCCGCAAGTCCAGAAAACTGTGAGGGCAAACTTTTTCGGAGTGAGAGTTGTGAATTCTTGGAACAATCTACCAGAGAGTGTTGTGACGGCACCGAGTGTGAGCTCTTTCAAGACCAGACTTGACCAACACTGGAGCAGGTTCTGATACATTCAGGAGCCGGTGCATGCCCAGTACTTGCCTACGGTGCGTAACAGAAACGTGACCGATCGCCCTAGCGGCTAACGAGTTGATCATTTGGTGAAGAGGATAAAAGTAAATAACACTTTCCTTGATAACAGAGAGGAGTTTGAAATACTACTGAAGGTACACCAACCCGATATTGTAGGAGTTGTAGAACAGTTGTACAAGAACAGGAGAATCGACTCAGAGGAATGTGAGTTCAGTATTGCTGGATATGACTCGTTTACGAACCTTTCTGAAGAAACTTGCAAAAGGGGTGTGGTTATCTATGCTAGGAAAGACCTTTTACTTTTATCCTCTTCACCACTGATCGGCTCGTTAACCGCTTGGGCAAGGGGCGACCTTATTGAGGTGTATAAGCATCTCAGGGGGCACTACTCAGTCGAGTGTCCTTACCTGGAGCTGGCGGACGCTCGCCCCACATGGGGTCACAGCTCAAGATTGAAGAAGCCGCAAGTCCATAAAACTGTGAGGGCAAACTTTTTCGGAGTGAGAGTTGTGAACTCTTGGAACAATCTACCAGAAAGTGTTGTGACGGCACCGAGTGTGAGCTCTTTCGAGACCAGACTTGACCAACACTGGAGCAGGTTCAGGTACATTCAGGAGCCGGTGCATGCCCAGTACTTACCAACAACGCGTGACAGAGACGTGACCGATCACCCAAACGGCTAACGAGCCAATCAGTGGTGAAGAGGATAAAAGTAAAAAGTAAGTAAAAGTTATATTTTAATAAAAGCCTGGGTGGTGGCAGTCTTATCACTTGTGAGTATAATAATAATAATATGGTTTTTCCCAGGTTAATCCAGTGTATAGAATATAACTAAGCACTGGTCAATATAGAAGATATAGAAAAGAAAGATAAAGAATATATAAATATATAAATAATGACACTGGAAGAAAGAAACAATAAGTAAGAAAAGTAAAATATAGAAAATGCTATAGCTTAGAAAAATAGAGAGAAAATAACCTATAATAAAAAACAGAGAAAATATAATGTGATGAATCCCCGACCCCCACCTCTCACCCACCCACCCCCACCCACCCCCAACCCCCAACCCCCACCTCTCACCCCCACCCCCACCTTACAGCGCGGTGTCAAACCATCTTTACTCAAACGCAGGTAGATGTTCGCATCCTCTTGTGAACACAGAGAAAAGAATTTGTTCAACGCCCCTGCCTTGTCCTGGTCAAAATCTGCCTAACTACCCTCTTCAAGCCTCAGATCCGATACACCTACACGCCCTTTTAATTTTGATTTTGCGTACCAACAGCCTCACTACCACACACCTGCCAACAACCTCCACCCACCACACACCTACCAACAACCTCCACCTACCACACACCTGCCAACAACCTCCACCTACACACACACCTACCAACAACCTCCACCCACCACACACCTGCCAACAACCCCACCTACCACACACCTGCCAACAACCTCACTACACACACCCCAACAACCTCACTACCACACACCTACCAACAACCTCACTACACACACACCCACCAACAACCTCACTACCACACACCTGCCAACAACCTCCACCTACAACAACACCTACCAACAACCTCACTACCACACACCTGCCAACAACCTCCACCTACCACACACCTGCCAACAACCTCACTCACCACACACCTGCCAACAACCTCCACCTACCACACACCTGCCAACAACCTCACTACCACACACCTGCCAACAACCTCACTACCACAACCCACTACTACCAACAACCTCACTACCACACACCTGCCAACAACCTCACTACCACACACCTGCCAACAACCTCCACCTACCACACACCTACCAACAACCTCACTACCACACACCTGCCAACAACCTCACTACCACACACCTGCCAACAACCTCCACCTACCACACACCTACCAACAACCTCACTACCACACACCTGCCAACAACCTCACTACCACACACCTACCAGTAACCTCACTACCACACACCTGCCAACAACCTCACTACCACACACCTACCAACAACCTCCACCTACCACCTTCATGTTTTATTTCATCACCTCAAGATTAGTCACCCAAGCTTATTTCACTAACTTATTATGTAGTGCCTTAATGTTACTTGGTAAGGCTTAATTTAGGTTTAATTAGGTTAGGTTAGGTTAGGTTCAGTTAGGCTAGCGTTACGGTGTTGAATTATCAGGTGTAATAATGCTGAGGTGTCTAATTTTTAGGTAATCACTTTTTTCGGTAACATTATCAATGCCACACGAGCAACGGAGGTGAATGTGTTTGATATAAGTTATCGAGGCAGTGGGAGCAACCTTCTTGTTTGTTGGAGATAAGAGTGTTATCAGAGCGGTGGGCGGATACTCTCTCTCTCTCTCTCTCTCTCTCTCTCTCTCTCTCTCTCTCTCTTACTCAGTGGCGAAGAGGATAAAATCAAAAGAAGAAAAGAATTAAACATCAACACCATGGCCATGTATGATCATCTGGCCACATGTAAACACTGTGACCATGTATGATTACCTGGCCATAAGTAAGCACCATGGCCATGTATGATTACCTGGCCAGAGAACTTTTTCTTTAAGCTGACAGCGGTTTTGGTTTCAAGTGAAGAATGATAGTTTTATATTTTAGACTACAAGCATAAACCAGACGTCCATCATAAGTGTTTCACTGTTCCTCTAACTTATGCTGCTTGGGCATCATCCACACACACACACACAGAACAGACAGTCTTGAACTCCACTGTGTGACAAAGTACTTTATTTTAACCCTTTCACCGCGTGACACGCACTTGCCATTTTATTCTGGCTACCGCCAGACGATTTTCTTCAGCTTAGGGTAACCTCCCGCTGTGAAAGGGTTAAGACCTATCTCGATTAAAGAGTTAAGTAAACTGGACCCCTACAAGAACACATGTATTGATAACATCCCGGCCTGTAACTGATCTTTTTAATCCTTTCATAGGTACCAATACTGCACCAGGTGAACCTAAGATTGTCTGAGTAACACATGTCTATAAGAAAGGCGACAGGTCGACCTGGGTGTATATGTTGATAGTGAACAGAAGTTCTCGGACCATTGTGAGAAGAAGGTGAATCAAGCAACTAAATTATTAGGACGTTCAGATATGTAGACGGTTTGTCCATTGTAACGATCTTCAAGAGTGAGGTGCTTCCCCGCCTGGGGTACTGTCACCCCGCCTGGTCCCCGAGATATGCTAGTGACTGTCAGTTGATTGAAAATGTCCAAAGGAGGGCCACCAGACTGGTGCCTGCACTTCGGCACCTCAGCTACCCAGAGTGATTACAGCGCTTGCAAATGCCTATCTTACACTACAGACGGGCAAGGGAGACCTAATTGAGGTGTATAAACATCTCAAAGGGCACTACTCTGTCGAGTGTCTTTACCCAGGCCGTGATATGGGTCAGTGACCTGTGCCCGGGTAAGGTAATCCCCGTAAAAGAAAAAATTAGTAATTACAGGTCAGTTAGTATATTGTGTATTGTATCAAAAATTGCTGAAGTGGAGATATCTCCGTGATTGTAATATATTGTACAGTTACCAGTCAGGCTTTAGGGGCTCTCACTTAACTGACACTAGTTTGATCCATCTCACTGACCATATTAGGGCCCAAACATCTCATGGAAATTACACAAGGATGGTTACGGTAGACTTACAAAATATTCATCGACACAGTCCATCAAGGTTTACTATGTGAAAAACTGCTGACTCTTGGCACTGGTTGATTGGATTAAAGCTTATCTTAACAGGAAACAAATAGTCGTTACAAATAATACCGAGTTATCATTTAAGTCGATGTCATGGGTTGCGTTAGGCTTACCCACGCAACCAATGCCAAAGTTTGTTTTACTAGAGATAAGACGCCCGGCGAGGCATAACTGGGACATGTATTTTTCAATTAGTGTATGTTAGCCAGCCTTTAGGGGGGTGGGCAGTGAAACAGTGTTGTACTGTTCATCGTTTCACACCCAAAAACCTCATTTTAAGTAGTATCCCCTGAGCCATGGGTTAGTTAAGACGTCGTCTCCATCCTCTCCGTCCTGTGAACCGTCGTCGACACGAGACTAAGCGTGTTAACCTAGGTTGTTATCCCCGTGGAAATATCACCTGTGGATGCCTGGTTGCGACAAGAGCAATCCAGGCTGGCCTATCAAACCTACAGTAAATGGTTAATTAATTCACGCTTACAGAGTTCTCCTGCACGACACCCGTCTACAGTGACCGTGATCGACACGAGACTAAGTGTGTTAACCTAGGTTTGTTATCCCCGTGGAAATATCACGTGTGGATGCCTGGTTGCAACAAGAGCAATCCAGGCTGGCCTATCAAACCTATGGTAAATGGTTAATTAATTCACGCTTACAGAGTTCTCCTGCACGACACCCGTCTACAGTGACTGTCAGTGACGCGAGACCATGTGTGGTAACCCAAGAGTACTTTTTGTTGTTATGGCCGTGGAAAGAAGTTCTTGTGATGAAGCCTGGTTGTAACAAAAGCAATCCAGGCTGGTAGTAAATGTATCACTTGAAGAATTAAGGCTCTGTTAAGTCATACCCACAGTAGAGTAATCACATGTGTTCCCAAGTTGAAAATTCCCTCTTTTAGAAGATTAATTTTATTACAGCGTGAACGTGAGTAAATCATATATCCATGCAAATTGTAAATCATTGTATGGGAGCTTGACAAATAAATGTAAGTGCAATTATCTGCCCGTATCTGTGATCCTATCTTATTATTACTAAAGGTAATGACTGATTGGTTATGACAAAGTATAACCAATAACTGAGATAGATGTTGGAAATTAAATGAATTCATTAAATCATCATTTATCAAGTATAAATCATGGAATGTCGAGTGGTGGAGTGAACTTCTACGTAGATACACCATAATCTCCTGTAAGTAACCAGTGTGAAGGTATCGAACTCTACGGTAAGAAATAAGAAATACGACATATTATTATCTTTATATAATATAATCCACTCTTACTACCGCCGATTGACAGCAAAACCATGACAGTCGATAACCTGTTGAGTCACACAAGGGAGTTGGGGCCGCACTAACCTAACCTAATCTAAGCTAATCAAATTAACCTAATCTAGCCCTCTGTGCACTCAACAAACTCTATATAATGTAATCCATCGCACATCGAATATTTCGTTGATCAACAAATAGGAAATGCACCTTGGTGGGACTATGCAATGAGGGGAGGGAATGCATATCGGTCAGGCTGCAGTACAATACATTAGCTTTGTGGTCACGTCACAATGGTCTGGGGGAGGGGGGGTGGGCTCTTACCTAGGTAGTGATATACAGCTGGGGGCGTGATACTGGTGGTAAAGCCGCCCACCTCTCTACCCAGTGTTGCTTCTTACCCCGCGCTGCCAACATGGTAGGTCGTCGGATCGTCCTCACAATTGTCTTCTCGATGCTGCAACAGAGCTAATCATATGCAGCTGTTATTGTTATTGTTTACTTCGGTCATATTAAGAATTGCATACTTTTAGATTTTTTTAATAGTAGGCAAAATAATTTTCCTCGCAAATTTTTAGAAGATATGATATTCGATTCTATACAGAACATAGTTTAATCACTATACTGTATTCTGTATGTTACCCGAGCGGTGATACCAATACGAGATGCAGCGTATGTGAACGTGTATGGTGAGGTGTTGAACTTGTTTTATAACACTGTGACATGATAGGGACGGTAAATGTAACATTGTGCTCTTTTGAAGTACAGTGACCTACAGACTTGCCCTGTGTAGTACGAGGAGTGTATACATGTATAGCATTTAAAGAGATGTAGATTGATGAAAAGACGTTAGAGGCAAAGGAGTTTCATAGTTACTAAATGTGAAGAAACGATACATTATGATATCTGATTTAAGGGAACTTATACAGAGTGAATGTGACATGATAAGGGGTGGCGTGTGATGCGACTGGGATTGAAAAGAGCGGGGATGGTGGATGAGGTTTCAATGATACCCTGACCACGGTGAAGCGAATGAAGTTAGTTTTAATTGTGTGTCATGGCGGTAAGTAGGATTGTGAAGTTATAACCCATTTGGGTGTTGTAATATGTTAGAAGAACTTTGCAATGACAAGGATACAGTAGAGTTGAGAAACGAAAGGGAGGAAATGAAAAATGATAAAGCTTGTGGGGGAGAATCAGCTTCCAGTAGAATTTATAAGACAATTGGACAAGAATGGGATGAATTGTTTTACTAAAATACTGTATGTAATTTTATATACTTCAAAGATTTCAAAAAATCAATATTTGTATTATTACCTAAAGAGCCAGGAGCCTTAGAGTGCATCCAGTTTAGAACAATATACTTAATAAGTCATGACTGCAAAATTTTATTAAACATAACTTTAAGTCGATTAAAATTTTGAAAAAAAAGTGAGTTCTCTGAAGAGCAAAATGGATTTAGAAAGGTTAAAGGAACTAGAGAAGCTATATTTGCTTTTGAGAATTTTGAGTGAAAGAATCTTAGAGGCCCAAACAAATTTGTATGTCTGCTTTGTTGATTTTGAAAAAAGCTTTTGATAAGGTAAAACACAATAAACTTATGGACATCTTGGAAAAATAGGCATCAATGAAGATGTTAGAATTTGAAATAATCTTTACTGGCAACAGGAGGCTCCAGTGTTAGTAAATAATGAACTTACTAATTGGTTCACAGTTAGACAGGGAGTAAGACAAGGCTGTGTTCTATCTCCAACATTGTATAATATATATTAATAATTCTTAATGAGAGAAGTTATAAGTGATAATGAAGGACTAAAGTTAATGGTAAAGTGATATGAAATAAACAATATGCAGATGATACTGTTCTTATCACAGATAGTGAAGAGGCGTTACAAAAACTGGTTAACAGATTATTGAAGTGGAAAAGGGTGAAAAATATGGTTTAGGAGTTAATGGTGTAAATATTAAATTATTAGTTGTTTCCATATTGGAAATAAATCCAATATAATAATGATGGTAGACAACAGGGAAGTTAAACAAGTGGAAAATAATAAACTAAAAGATCTAATGAAAAGGGACATTAAATTAAATAGAGAAAAAGGCTGCTGAAAGGCTTCATATGGCAAGGACTGATGTATGTGTCAGAAGTGTGGACACTCAACAGACGCCAGGAAGAGGTTGGGGACCTTTGAGATGTGGTGTTACTGACGACTGCTAAGAATAAGCTACACTGACAAGAAAACAACTGGAGTACTAAGATTAGCAAAAACTTTAAGAAATTACTTGAAATGTACAAAAAAGAAAAATAAATAGATACTTTGGTCATATAATTAGGGATGAGGGGATAATAGAAAAATATTAATGGGTAGAGTTGAGGGTAGGAGGGCCAGGGGAAGGCAGAGACTGTGATGGGTGGATGAAACTAAACACTGGGTCCCTAGAGAGATACACAACCTTGGAGGATTGGTAAAAACAGCCCGTTTAGAGTGGAGGACTGTGGTCGCCAACCCTCAGGTATAAGAACGGTACTCTGATTAAATGAGTTAGAAGGTGTGTGGAGGAAAGGGTGGATGAGAAAGTGTATTTTCTTTAAACCATATTTGTCATATTGGTCATGTGATAGTCCTTAAAGTAGCAGCACTATTGTCTGCAGGAGGTTTATATGGGGTCACTTTCTTTTTGGCAGAATAGAATAGAATAGAGGGGGTAAAGAGTTTCATACTAAGGTGAATGATATGTGAAATATTGTCTTCAGAAATGAATAGATCCACATTAAACCTTCAAGTAAATTGGGAGTATAATTTCCTAAAACAATCCCAAACGTCTCTACCATAGTGCTTAATTGAGCAAGACTGGGAAAGGGGGGGGGGCGCAAGAAGCAGAAATAAGTCAATGGCCGTAAAAACATGTCGGAGTGAACACAGTGACACCATATGACTTTGATGAATTGTGGGTAACACATCTGGAATGTTTTGTTTTGTCACCAAGGTTTGAATTCCTGTTAAGGTTTTTCTATTATTGTTCACTGTTATGAGATTGTTTAGATGAAAATAATGTTTAGTTACTGTAGGTTCTAGAGTCTGGTGATGTAACCAAATCCTAACAAATTGTCATTGAGAAAAAGGAGGCTTCTTGTTCGTGTACGTGTTTACTCATAGTCTTCTCCCACGGTATTACTTCCATGGCTCGCACACAGGATTTACCAATTACACTTTCCGAAACAAGATCTCCCACCAATCACACTTCAGGACTCAATCATTTTGCCAATTTCTAAAATAGATATGCTAAGCCTCCCTTTTCTCTAAAAGATCATGGAAGCCACTCACCCACAACATTGCTAAAGCTGCCTCCCTAAAGCTGGGAATGCTGCACAGATGCCTTAGCTACTTCACTCCTGAGCAGTTGCTTCAAGCTTATAAAAGATTCATTCGTCCTAACTTGGAGTACTGCTCTCATATCTTGGGTGGCTCTTCTTCTGTCCAACTGTTAGGGTGGAATCAAAGGCATTTCATCTTATTAACTCTCCTCCTTCATTCAACAATCTCTCTTCCATTTATCTTCGCCGCAATGTTGCTTCAGTCTCTCTCTTTTACAGCTATTTTTACGGGCGATGTTCGGTGGCTTTGGCATCCTGTGTACCGCCGGCAAGGCCGTGGGCTCGTAACACTCGTCTTGCCCGCGGTGCCCACCGTTTCTGTGTGGATGTCGTTCACACTAGAATAACCCGTTATAGTGCATCCTTCTTTCCTCACACAGCCAAACTGTGCAATGCTCTGCCTTCTTCTGTGTTTCCATACTCTTACAATCTGATTCACTTCAAAATGCTGGTTTTCCGGCATCTTCGTGGTGTAGATTAACATACTCTTTTTCTCCTCTAATTTTTATTTTTTACCTTAGGTCCCGTTGTGGGTCAATGACCTGTGTCCGGGTGGGCTATTCCCCATAAAAAAGCACTACTGTAACTGGTGGTAGATAGTGAAGAGTGTTGACATTTGTTTTTTTCAGAGAGCGGTACAGCTGGTGGCGACTCTGGCGACGGCGGCAGTGTTGGTGTCGGCTGTCAAAGGTGACCCGATCCTGCCAGACATTTGGACGGCGGTAAACAACTCCTATGACTCTGACGTAATGGTCACCTTCGCAGATATCGTAAGTTGTTTCCTCATCACTATTTCCGTTTAGACTCGGATCACCTCAGGAAATGCAAGGCATCGGTTTATATGAAAACTGACAGACTTTATGGGGCATTTTCAGGGCTCGAAGATTGCAAGGCAAAATTTTTGGGAGTTCATATGTGTACACGAGACGTTAATAGCGCGTCTACGGGACGTGTCATGTCAGTCGTGAACATATAAGGTGACCCCTAAATAATGCACCGATGTTATGGGAATTGATATTCGGAACTCGGGGTCTTTATGCAACATGACAGAGATGTTTTAATAATAATAATATCTATTTAGGGATAAAGATGCAATGTATCATATAATTGCACGAACTGCATTTTTAAGGAAAAAGTAACGAAGTTTATGTTAAAGAGATAATACACAGGGTGTTGTGCCTCTAGCAGTGCTTTGTTAGTTTATTTTCAGGTAAACATTGTAAGTTACCGTGGCAGTATTTTAGTAATGCTCTCGGTGTTGGTCACCAGGTTCCCGGAGCCAGCATCATCGTGGATGAGCTTTACGACATCACCGAGGCGAAGGGGGCACTCATAATACTGGAGAACGGCCACACCTCCAAGACCAACTACTATTCCGCGACGCAGCAGACCTATGTAGTGCAAGACTTTAAGTGTGCAGTGGGAACGTGAGTGTCTTATATGGTGTTATTCCACACATTACAAGTCTCGTATGTAATCGAAATGGGAATCAGTGGTCAAAGAAGATGTAAAAAACAATTGTTAGAAGTTTTTGCCCATTTATTTGAATATAATTTTCTCATCCTCTGTCTAATTACCCCAAGAGTAATATATACATATATATATATATATATATATATATATATATATATATATATATATATATATATATATATATATATATATATATATATATATATATATATATATATATATATATATATATATATATATATCAGACTGGAGGAACACGGCCCCTACAACATCTGGGGATGGATCTATGACAGCGAAAACACTGACAAGGATAATTTCCTGTATGGACCCTCAGCTCTCCTCAGGATCGTCAGGGACTACAAGGACTCGGTGGTAAGTTACTGTTGATGGAACTAGGCACATGAGGTTTGTTTGGGCTGTCCTTGTTGTGTTAGCTAACTGTTTACCAGTGTTTGTATACCCACGCTATGTACAGATTGTGTACCTGCAATATCTATGTATATTGTTTGTATACCGTCTTTGTTTATGTACAGATTATATACCTGCACAGTTTGTGTATATACATGCTGAAAAATGAACTTGTATGACAATTGTACTGTACTCTGTCTTTTATCTATCTCACTTAGTACACCACGCCACTATTTGGCTTCAAATTCTCATAGTACAGTATCGGTTGTTAGATTTCTCCCTACAACGTTGGTGTGAGTATTCCTCTAATGACACCAAGAACCTAACTAATAGGTGCTAAATGCCATATTTGTGCCATGATTCACTCCACACAGACTCTATTGCTTGTACCTTGTTTTTGACAGGAGATATTGTGAGTCCTATAAACTGAGAAGCAATGAAACATTTCCGTCTTTAAAATATTAGTTTTTAATCTACAAACCTTAAATTATCTGTTTGTGTGATGTTTTTAAATGTGATCTTTAAATTAATATTAAGATACCATTGTTATGATAATTTAATTTTTAAAGTCTGTCATACACCTGTACTATAAATTTAGGAAAGTCACCTTTAAAAACTTGACCCTCCTGCTGTACTGTACTTCATGTCCCTCCCACCCCACACAGGAGTATAAGGGGCAGACACCTGTACGTGGGATCATGGCGGACCATTGGGTCATCAAGCACAAAAAGAACTACACCCTCGATTACTTATTTGCCAGTGACGATTGGGTAATGCCATACGGACACACCATGGATGGGGTCAACCTGAAAGCGCCGCTGCAGGTGAAGGTAAGTGTCGACCTGACTATACAGATCTCTAGTAAGGCACCTGAGAAGTCCAGTGAAAAAAAAAAATGAAATTTCTATGTTGAAATAGTATAAAAAAAATTGGTTGACAGTGATTATAGTTATTGTTAAATCTAATGGAAAAACACTGATAATTATAGAAGATGGAATCACTGATACAGCACCATCATCATCTTCAAGTAGTGGAAGCAAAAGAGCGAATCAGTTTTCCATCACACAATAAGTGGTATCCTGATGGAACTCACCAATAATAGCAAAAAAATATATGTACAATTGTGTTGCATGTGATAAAATGAGTGACAGTGTACACAGTAAAGTACTCTGTCCTAGGGTAAGGGATTGTGATATTGTGGTCCTGTACTCTGCTCTAATGTATTCTCCTTGGTATAGGTAAGCGGAATGCAAAGCAACCCCTGGAACCCTGACCAACCAAGCTTCCTCCAGATTGTTTACTATGACTACACGGACTTCAAGCCCTATGTCTCAGACGAGAGAAAAAGGGAATTTTTGGTAAGCTGCAAAATCATTTCCAGAAACCAAACGAGTTGACGACTAGACCCTTGTGAGTACAATATCGTCATACTCAAAGGAATTATTCGTCATTTTCAAAGGGCTAAGACATCAAACTCAAGGGAATAAGTCATTGTACTCCAGGAGCTTAAATAGCTTGTCTTTGATAGTATTTAATTTTAAAGTTCTGAGTAATCTCTTGTTTTTTCTTGTTTGTTTTTCTTAAACAAATCTAGGTAATAGTATTTTGTGCTACGGAATTACAATGATTAAACTGTCGCTGATTTTTTGACGTATTTACCTCTATATCCACATCACACACGCCCTTACCCAAACACACACACTACTCTCACTTAACAATAACAGCCTCACCTTGGCCACAGGTGCATGATGGCTTGGATTGCCCGGGGCGTAAACCGATGGACCCCAACAGGATAACGCCCCCAGAGGTCCCTGACACCTTCAAGGTCTTCATGGAGGTAGTCAAGAGGTCCCTAGCTGATGACGGCTCCGAAAACCTGAACACCACCGTCTTCAGGTCCTGGGTACGTCAATAAGATCATATTAGAAACTTCTTTAGGTCATCCCGAGATGGTGTCACTTTGGGAAGGTCAGCTTGGGCAATGGTCGGAGATTCTTCAGGTCACCTCAAGATGATGTCACTAATAATAATAATAATAATAATAATAATAATAATAATAATAATTAACGGTTTATTGAAAGAGTTTGGCAGGCGTGTGTGTGTGTGTGTGTGTGTGTGAATACTTTCGAGTTAGCCCGACTGTATACCAAGGTAGACAAGCGCCAGCGCCGGAAAGATGCTGTCGCCGCCCCTTCCTCACTAGATGTAGACCTCCACACACATCTGTGGACGGCCCTGCCGGTTACGTATCGGCCTTTCGAGTCATCTTAGAGCTCACCAACGAAGGTAACATCCCTAATAACTCATATCATTGTATCATAGCTGGATGATCGTCATACTTGATTCCGAGTGACAGCAAAGTATTAGTAGAGAACAAGGGTAACTTATCAAGTACGCTCCAGTCCTAATGAGCCCTAGTCTTAATGGGACCAGCTCTAATGGTTAGGTCATATCGAGATTTGAACCCTATTTTCCTGCATCCTAGTACTCATCCCGAGAAGTGTTCCAAAATGAGTCTCTCTCTCTCTCTCTCTCTCTCTCTCTCTCTCTCTCTCTCTCTCTCTCTCTCTCTCTCTCTCTCTCTCTCTCCACGTGCCTAAACCAGCTCACCCTATCTTAACGTAAAACCTCGCCAATACTGTAATCTCAATACCCAGCTACCCTCTTAGCTCTGAACTTTCCAGGGTTTCCCATCTTTCAGTGTCACATTACACATCCATCTCACCAATTTCATTTCAGCTCACACAAACCCCATTACCTGAGGTGTAGACACATTTATACCATTACTACTATTTTGCTGTCACTCGGAATCGAGTATGACGATCATCCAGCTATGGGACAATGATATGAGTTTCTAAGGATGTCACCTATGTTGGTGAATTTTAAGGTGACTCAAGAGGCCGATACGGGACCGGCAGAGTCGTTCACAGATGTTGCATATGTGGATGGCTACATCTAGTGCGGGAGGGGCGGCGGCAGCCTCTTTCCGGCGTTGGTGCTTGTCTGCTTCGGTATGCAGTTGGGCTAACTCGAAAGTTTTGACACCTTCTTGTGTGGTGCTCCTCTAAGCATTACGGTGTGTAGTAATCGTCTCCCAGACGAGGGGGTCGATGTGGCAATTTTTCCGGTTTGTCTTAAGACTATCCTTATACCTTTTCAGTTGCCCGCCAGTGCTACGTTTACTATTAGTTGGGTGACTGTAAAGTAGCTGCTTTGGCAGGCTACTGTTGTCCATGCGAGTAACATGGCCAGTCCAGTGTAGTTACTCATGGATAATGGTAGCCTCGATGCTCCTACAGTTGGTGTCAGCGAGAATACTGGTATTCGTTTTCTTGTCTTCCCAGCAAAGTCGGAGGATGGAACGTAGACTACTTTGGTGAAAGTTTTCAAGTGCATTGAGGTGCCATGTGTATGTGACCCATGTCTCATGGCCATATAGCAGGGTGGGGAGGGCCACTGCTCGATATACGTGCAGCTTTGTAGATAATATCAGCTCCCTTCAGCTAAAGACACGGTTTCGGAGTCTGCCAAAGGCTTAAGATGCACATCTGATCCGATGCTGAATCTATTCATCGATGTCCATGGTAGTGGACAGGTGGGAGCCGAGATACCGAAAGTGGGTAACATTAGAGATGGTAGTACCGTTAAGCTGGATGGGTGGTGGAGGTGTGGCTGAACCAGGGGCAGGCTGAAAGAGAATCAGAGTCTTACGTACATTCACCTCAAGGTCGAAGTGTGCATACGCATCTGCAAAGGTGTTCAGTATCTCCTGTAGGTCACGTTCAGTGTGAGCGACAACGGTGAGGTCATCTGCATACTGAAGGTCAGTAATGTTAGCTGCCAACACCTTTGGTCTTGCCTGGAGTCGTCTTATGTTGAAAAGATCTTTCATTCGGTACTCGATATCCACCCGCCACTAAATTGGCACTGGCGCGAGTAAGGAAAGCAGCCAAGAAAATGGAAAAGAGAGTTGATGCCAGTACACACCCTTGTTTAAGCCCCGTTTGGATGGGGAAGAACTCAGACTGGGTGCCATTGTACAGGATACTGCCGTTCATGCCATCGTGGAGTTGCCTCATAATGGCGATGATTTTGGTGGGCAGCAAAAACAGCTGAGGGTCCACCAGAGGGCTTCCCTGTTGACCAATCGAAGGCCTTGGTTAGGTCGATGAAAGCCATGTAGAGGTCACGACGCTATTCTCTGCACTTTTCCTGTATCTGACGGGCAGCAAAGATCATGTCAGTGGTGCCACGTGATGATCTAAAGACACATTGAGATTCTGGGAGGAAATTTTCTGCCTCAGGAAGAAGTCTGTTTAGGAGGACTCTGGCAATTATCTTGCCAGCTACGGAGAGCAGCGAGATCCCACGGTAGCTGCCACAGCCTGATAGGTCTCCCTTGTTCTTATAAATATTGATGATGGAGGCATCTTTAAGAGCTTGGGGGATTTCCTACTTTTCCCATATATTCTCCAGGAGAGCGTGGAGACGGATGGCAAGCAGAGGTCCTCCTGCTTTATACACCTCGGTTGGGATTCCATCAGGCCCTAAGGCTTAATATTTTTCAGCTCTTTGATGGCAGTAGCTACCTCATCCAGGGATGGAGGATAGTTGAGGTGGGTCAGCTCTGGATGCTGAGGGACCTGTTGGGTAATCAGGACATCCACATCAGTGTTTCGGTTGAGCAGTGAATGGTAGTGCTCGTTTCAGTGTCGAAGGATGCCTTCATTATCTTTAATTACGGAGTTACCGCCGAATGAGCAGAGGGGGGGGGGGGCTGTGCCACGAGTGATTGGCTCATAAAACGTTTTAGTGGATTTGAAAAATTCGCGCATCTTGTGCTGATCTGCAAATTTTTGTGTTTCACATGCTTTATTTTTAAACCAGTCGTTCTGTAGATTGTGAAGTTCCCTCTGGGCCACCACTTTCTTCTTGAGGAAGGTATCAGCTTTGGTCCGAGACTGAGGGATGTTCTACCAGTCAGTTAAAGCAGCATGTTTATCATCGACGAGTACATTGATTACCGAGCCACTTTCAACAAACCAGTCCTGGTGTATTCTTTCGGTCATGACAGTTTCGAGAATATCCCATTCAGCACTGGGATTTGGGTTGTTTGTTTTCGGGTTGTTTATCAGACGTTTAGTATTAAAACCTCTTCTGGAGGCTTTCTGCCTTTGCCGTTTTGGGGCGACGTGAAGTGAGAGCTTGGCTCTAACGAGCCAATGATCAGTGTTGCAGTGATGTGAGCCACACATGGCACGGGTGATAAGGACATCTCGGTGATCTCTTTCTCTGACAATGATGCAGTGAATGAGATGCCAGTGTCTGGATCGTGGGTGTTGTCACGAACCCCAGAACTTGTCGGCCTGCCTAAACAAGGTATTGGTGATAGTCAGGTTGTGTGCAACACACTTGATGAGGAGGAGTAGGCCGTTGGGATTACACTTGCTTAGTCCATTTTTCCCTATGGTTCCCTGCCAAATGTCAGTATCTCTGCCAACTCTGGCATTGAAGTCACCAAGGAGCACAACCTTATCTTCTCTGGGAGGCCTCCTTGATGTCATCCTCTGCATCTAGTGTCGGGGCATATGCACTGATGAAAAAGGCATGACTTGCGTACTTCAGTGGGACTTGGAGCGTCTTGCCACACTCGTTGATCCTAATAGGCATTTCAGTTAGCCTGTGTAGGATGCATTGGCGGATGGCAAAGTCAACTCCATAAATGCGGTTTCTCTCCGCAGCAGGCTTACCCTCGTCTGGGAGCCGGGACTCACTAATGGTTGCTATGTCGATGTTATACCTAGCCAGCTCTTTTGCCACAAGGGCGGTTCTTCTTTCAGGACGCCCCTATTTTGTGCCAGTATCCAGAAGGGTCCTGACTTTACATGTAGTGACCATAAAAGGTTGTATTGTTTGTTTTTGTTTGATCTGTGATTATTATTGTTTTCGACTGCATAAGGATGACCTTACTGGGTGCAGTTGCCCAGTTAGGTTGGTTCTTTAGGCAGGCTATGTTTAGGGCACCTTTTCTAGCCCCTTCTTCATGTGGGGTGAGCAGAGTGGCTCCACGAAAGGGCTGCTCAGTCGCACGGACAGGACTGGATTGCACTGCTGTATAGGTCCCAGTGCATAAACGATCATTGTATCTGTGCTGCCCATGTGCAGCGTAATGACTAGAGACTTCCGGCAGTTATCTCTGCCTGTCCCTGTCGCCAATCGTCCGTCGTCATAGGACTTTTGTGGTATAGGAGTTTTGATGATGATGATGAGAGGTATGATGAGCTGGATGATGGCTGTACCCGAGTTGATTTATGTGGTGAGGCAGGAGTGTAGGCTATGACCACATATCTTGGCTCTCTCTTTTCCTGATCCAGTGGTGCAAGTGTTGCAATGACTGGGGAGAGGGAGAGTTGCAATGGACTGCCGCCCAGTTTGTTGGGTTTCGCCTTCGTAGCCTGTCCATCATGCATTGCCTTTGTCTGCCGGGGTAGTTATTGGGTTCCCATGGTGGTCACCTCTTCTGTCTATACCGCCGTTGGGGTCTTGTAAAAAAGTCTGCCTGATGAGGGGGTTTCACCACAGATTTTTTGTTCGGGGTTTACTCCTGTAGCCTTATACCTACCAAGGTTAATCTGCAAGGCAGCGAGGCAGTGGTTGGTAGGCGCCAGGACGTGTTCACATGCCAGTGGGCCTATGCGCCGTGCCTCTGGGGCCCACTGCTACCTCGAGATCCCCTGCTGGTCTAGCCTGGACCCAAGAGGCACCCAGTTACCCTGTGTCGCCACGAGGAGGCACAGCAGGAGTCTTGGTGGTGAAGAGGCTGTGTACTGGCAGGGGAAGACTTAGGCAAGTTGCTTCCCTGTTCACCACGAGGGCTAGCCAGTAGCAGTAGCTGAAAGCGAGAGGGAGCAAGCAGTGCTTCCACCTTAACACCAACATAATACTGCCACACTAGACACATTTCACCATCCTGTGTGCGAACACACACACACACACACACACACATTACCTGTCTAATTTTAACTGCTCATATGTCAATGCCATACATCACACTGCTCGCACCAGTTGCATACAGTACACCATAAACATGAAATTAAGAATACATCACCTTAACTTTATGAGTACAGTAAATATAAAGTTTAATTGGATTTAAATTGTTTTTAAGACTTAATCTGGATGTATAAATTTGTATTAGCATCTAAGTATAAATTAAAATGTAGTTCTTCATAAATGTACGTTGATTTAGAAATACTATTTAATGCTTGAAAGATGTTACGAATGTGTTCAGATTGTATGAGTTACACTTTGCTGGTCAACAGATGTACTACGATAAGTTCCGCCAGCTAGTGCGTCTAGACATCAACCCAGACATGGACGCCGACCAGCACACTAAGACATACAAGAGCGTCCATGACTACAAAACTGGTGAGTGCTCCTTGTTCTACCATCGTCACCCGTCTACCATCGTCACCCGTCTACCACATACGAGTGCACCACCACAACCTACACCACCACTCCCTCCACCTACACCACCACTCCCTCCACCCACACCACCACTACCTCCTCCCACACCTCCACTCCTTCCACCTACACTATCACAACTACCTTCCTCTATACTGCCACAACCACTGCTATCCTCTAAAGCCAACATCTCATTATATTTCTTCACAGGCATCGAGTACCGCATCTTCCTAGAGACTGGGCAGTGTAACATGCAGGCCCTCGACCCTAACCAACTGGGAACTATGATAGGTGAGTGTGTGGGATTTTTCTAAATAAATATACATGACAAACAAGAACTAGGTGTGTGTTAACAATGACTCGGGTGCTAGCGATGTAAGTGTGTTTACATTTGTGTTCCCTGTCCACAGGAAGTGACGTCATTGGCAGTGTCATCATGGCCAACCCAAGCAACTTTTTCTACCTGGATAAATTGTAAGCATGATTGCTGGCCTTTCTTTCTCTGTTTTTATAAATTTTCTCTCTATATCTGTTACTTTGTCACTTTGTCTAAATCTTTGTCTGTTTTCTCTTTTTCTTGTCCCTCTCCCCCCTTGAGTCCACATGTGGTTCAGGGGCCATAGCCCAGCTCAGGTGATACCCCAGCCTCTGTAGGTGAACTCAGATGATATCCCAGCCTCTGTAGGTGAACTCAGGTGATATCCCAGCCTCTGCAGTTGAACTCAGGTGATATCCCAGCCTCTGTAGTTGAACTCAGATGATACCCCAGCCTCTGTAGTTGAACTCAGATGATATCCCAGCCTCTGTAGTCGAACTCAGATGATATCCCAGCCTCTGTAGTCGAACTCAGATGATACCCCAGCCTCTGTAGTCGAACTCAGGTGATACCCCAGCCTCTGTAGTTGAACTCAGATGATACCCCAGCCTCTGTAGTTGAACTCAGATGATATCCCAGCCTCTGTAGTTGAACTCAGATGATATCCCAGCCTCTGTAGGTGAACTAAGGTGATACCCCAGACTCTGTAGGTGAATCAGGTGATATCCCTGCTTCCCTGACTAAGCTTACATGTGTTGGCAGGTATGTGTTCAGCGGGTACTCAGAGACCCGGGGACTCTTCATCAACAAGTGGACCGCCACCAGGAATGACATCAAAAACCTCGTCACTGGTAAAAACTACAAGAAGGTCGTTGTTGACTACGAATTCCTTGCGGTATGTGTTATCTTGTAAGGGGATGGTGTTATCTTGTAAGGGGATGGTGTTGTCTTGTAAGGGGATGGTGTTATCTTGTAAGGGGATGGTGTTATCTCGTAAGGGGATGGTGTTATCTTGTAAGGGGATGGTGTTATCTTGTAAGGGGATGGTGTTATCTTGTAAGGGGATGGTGTTGTCTTGTAAGGGGATGGTGTTTTCCTGTAGGGAGATGGGAGTTGTTAATTAGATCTTCATATATTCCTGAACTATGTCCCCAAGTGTGTGATTGTAAACTCCTTCAGGACACCACGGTGGTTGATACTGGTACGAAGGGTCTGCCCGTACCTGTAAGGATAGACGTGACGGTGTATAATGATAGCGATACCGATTCCATCTTGTACACCCACACTCTCAATCTCCTCCATTTCGTGACCGACTTCGAAGTTTTCCAGCTGAATCCCTTCGATGTGAGGGATTGCATGGACATCCCATCGCAGAGGACATGGATTAAGCTTACCTTTTCTGGTAGGTCTCATTATGTGTTGACCTTTTTATATCTCTTTTGACCTGCCTATTCATTTATTTGGTTCTCCATATTTCTCTTATTTCTCTAACCTTTACTATATTGTACTTATCTTTCTCCATGTCTAACTATCAATCTTTATCTTTCTATCCATATTCCATACCGTATCTCTCTTTCTAACTACTGTACTGCAACCATACATTTTCTCTGCTCTCCCCAAAACTTTATATTTTGTCTTTCTGACTCAACATTTTCTCATACTTGCACAGAACTATTGTTATATGAAACCCAATAAACATGCTAATACAATACAATACAGTTTTCTGTGACTTGTGGTTCGAGTTGTATTCATAATAAGTTAAAATTTGTACACAACCATTTGTCATGATACAGGTGACTGGTACCACGGGGCTATGCAGGAGCCAGACTTGTTCAGGAAGATGCTCCTCAACAGGATCTCATCTGGTTCCGGCTCCACCTACGTTAGGTTCCCAGAAATAGATGTAAGATACTTCTTTCATATTCGTCAAGCTGCTAAAGACTTTAAAGAATAATAAATAACACAACCTAGCGGAGAAATACACATTTTAATGATAAATCTTAAAGTTTAAGTTTTGAGGTTTTGAGAAGAGGAAGAGAAATGAGGTTTTACACAAATGAAAAGACCAGCTGAGGTATAGTTGGCTGGTGGTGGGTGGAGTGTAGCCACTGGTGGAGGGTTGTGGGTGGCTGGTGGTGGGTGGAGTGTAGCCACTGGTGGAGGGTTGTGGGTGGCTGGTGATGGGTGGAGTGTAGCCACTGGTGGAGGGTTGTGGGTGGCTGGTGGTGGGTGGAGTGTAGCCACTGGTGGAGGGTTGTGGGTGGCTGGTGGTGGGTGGAGTGTAGCCACTGGTGGAGGGTTGTGGGTGGCTGGTGGTGGGTGGAGTGTAGCCACTGGTGGAGGGTTGTGGGTGGCTGGTGGTGGGTGGAGTGTAGCCACTGGTGGAGGGTTGTGGGTCGGTGATCGAGGCAGCTGTAGCAGCGGTGGTCACTGTCTTGCTAAAAAGGCTGATGGCTGGCGGCTTCATTTTTAGGAGATCCCTGTACTCCTCCTTGTAGGGCCTCACTGCATCCTCCAATGCACACTTAAACGCAAGTCTACGCTCCATAAAATGCTCAACCAAAGTTGAAGACATAAGCATTCCCTTATTAAGATTTTCAAGCTTCACTTTCACTTTTTTCGTCTCATCCTCATCATCACTGGAGGACTGTATAAGACCCTCTAGGTCATCCTCCATTAACTCTTCCACATGTGAACCAAAGAGCTCCTCTATCTCAATGGCCTGCATATCGCACATCCCCTTACCTGGCAAAGATTGGGCAATCTTACCGATGCGCCGCACCTCAGATCAACTGAAGGGAAACGTCGTAAGTCGTGTACCACCTCAGGCCAGATTTTCCCCCAGCATACATTCATTGTTTTTCTTTTTTCTTTTTTATCATATTCACCACTTATCAGCTTACTAGCCGTTTGGGCGGTCTATCCAGCGTTCGTTGTCTGCTTCACTTCATCCACTAATTATTTTATTATGCTGATACAGTCAAAGATGTTAAAATTCTTTAATAAGTCAAAAACAGTTAAGGTGTCGCTCTCCTCCATGGCATTAAGAGATATAGCTGAAGATTTGGCGAGTGTAATAGCTTTTAAAGGTGGCTATTACACCCTGATCCAGAAGCTGAAGGGAGAAATGCCACTTCTGTACAATATTGGGATGAGTGTTTTTGAGTGTTCAGGGTAACCACCACACACTCGCTCTACCACCTCCTCCCATTGATGAGTACCAATACACACTTACCGGTAGTACTGTAGTTCTATATACTATTTTCTATAGAAATGGCAAAGATTTTCTGTATATGTAACTTTTTTCATGGGGCAAAGGGAGACTGGGGAACGTAACTCCCTTTATTTTATCTATTTCTTATGGGGAAAATTGATCCATTTAACGTTGTTTCACATAACCCCGACGTTAAGCCAGGACGCCCTGTACTCTCATCGGATTCTCTGATGTTCATAGATCAAAGATATATGACTTCACTTTTGTATTGCTATCGCATAAGTTCACACGAAGCATAATGATTTACATCTGGCAGAATGGATACTCAAAACACACCGTCTCTACACATATAGATATATGATGCCTTCAACATATACTCAATACACCTAGAATACTTTCTCTCATGGTTGGTATACATCATTGACTGTACAAGAAATTCATTCACTCTCAATTTAAAATTCCTGAACACCATATGAGGCACTAAGAAATACCCGAGTCCTTAAGGGAGTACAGGAGAGAAAACGGAGGACTAAGATGCCCTAAAGTGGGGGGAAACGGACGTCTAAACTGGTGGAGCATAATATGAATAATTAAGTGTTGAACGGACTTACCATGCTATTGTGACCATGGCAACAGTGCGGCGGCCTCGTGATCAGCTGATGCGGATTCCCCAGTGAGTTTCACATTGTGCAGGCTGTATCTTTCTTACAGTTTTCAAACCAGTCCTTACTGACTTGAAACTTTATGTCAGCGACACTTCCCTCTCCTGCACTTTGGGTGTCAAGATTCTCTTGGTGACCCGAGGAACTGTCAGGTAACGACAATGGTCTTTGCTCAAGGTGATTTTCCTTGAAGTGCTGCTCTACTGCTGGGCAATAACTGCTGGAAAATGTTGACTGTCACCTAGGCCTTCATGTTGTCTGTTATTACCAGACAATAAGCAGTTGCTCCTTGGAGAACTCATTCAATGCTTGGGTGTTTCCGAGTGGTAAATAACCAAGGGTTTGATCTTAATATTGTTCAAAGTATTGACCCCTAGCTGGAGTGTAAGGTGATCCTTCACAGCCATGAACCCTGGTGTATGCCTCTCTTCCTGGGAGCGGTGTGTGTGTGTGTGTGTAAAGGTACAACACACACTCCCATAACAGGACAGTCTCATGGACGTTGAAGACAAACTGGGAAGCAAAACTGCCAAGGTTGATGATCACTTTCAGAGTGTCTGGGTCTTCATGTGCTGCCGAGACATCAGTGCATGCAGTTTCACCAAAGAAAAGCACACTGTTCATGTTACTGCATTACAGTACACTACTTAAATTTGTCGAATCAATTTCGATTTTCCTGAAAATCTCCATTGTTGATCCCTCAATTTCCTCCTCCAAGTAGAAGATGCTCCTGGTCTCCTGCAGGGATGAGTCCATCTTCTTGAATGGTTTGTTTTGGTTGCTGTTAATGAAGTGGCGGATTGGGCAGAAGCCCCCATCTTGTCTGTTAAACCCAAGTTTCGATCACCATCAACCAAATGCTGACTCACCTCCACATGTCTTCCCACCACCATTTTTATATCCAAAATGAGGCTCTCCTTTGACTGCCTGCCCACATTACCAGGAATATCACTTACAGGCACCTCACCAGACTTAATGGATGCTGGGTGTCACTCTCACTAGTTGTGTGTACAGTTCAAAGAGAGGAGAGCATAACATAGTCTTTGAACCTTTTATAGACTTTAATATGTTTTGTCCTATAAGAAAAATATCCCCCATGAGTAATGGGCACTACACAATAATGAAAGAGCATTCTGTGAGGTATCTCTGTAGAAGCAAAATTATGATGAACTTATACAATACTGTAGTTAGTGTGACAAGTTATTTGACACTGTATTATCAGACTCTGCATCTAATATGACCTAATCTCTAATGTGTACAGCTGGATCATGACACTGACAGTATTTATGCCACGATGTTGGTGCTGGAGCCAGCGCCCTTCATGCTGGAATTTCAGCAGGAACCTGACAGGAAGCCTACTGTTAATGACGTACAGGTGGGTGTCCTCATACTCTACTGCTTCAGTCTTTGGTAATTGTTTGCTTCATCCAGGCTCCGACTCTGACAGAATTAATCTTCAACGTAGTTAAATATTATTGAGAGCACCATCAGTGTTTTCACTATTTTCAGGCAGATTTTCATAAAAATATAAGGATCCAATCAAATTTTTATCAATAATTTGTCAAAATTTTATTTTCTTTTAACCACACTACGTTTAGGTCATGACTAAATATATTTTAAGTAAAACTTTAGTAAAATATTAAGTTATTTTTTAGTTACGTTTTAACTCAGCTTCATACTGGTATTATACTAAAAATAGACCCAGGCTAATAAGTACTGTATTCAAATCTCTGTAGATATCATATCCTCCTAACCAAACATTTATATTTATGAGCTGTGAAATCGATGGCAGCCAGATAGCCAGTGTCAGAAATAAGCTATAATCAAGACTGCAATTTCACTTCCCTGACAACCCTAGAGTATTTTTGTTGGGAATATATTAATTTTTGGAGATTCCTGTACTGTAGTTGGTAAACTAAATGATTCAGCAGCCATGTTGAGCGACGACCTCTCTAAACAGTGACTCAGCGGTGACAGTGAGCAAGCTGTTACAACACCGGGTTATAAAAGTGGCACAACTATCATACAGTGAATGTCTGTATAGAGTGCTAGTGTCTGAAAGAGTTTACAGATTGGCTACATGGGTCTTGCTTCTAAGATGATCTAATTCGAAATGGGCCCAGTCCTATGTCCTAATTGTCAAGGGTCCCAGTCCTAAGGTATACTAGACGTCAAGGGTCCCAGTCCTAAGGTATACTAGACGTCAAGGGTCTCAGTCCTAAGGTATACTAGACGTCAAGGGTCCCAGTCCTAAGGTATACTAATTGTCAAGGATCCCAGTCCTAAGGTACACTAATTGTCAAGGGTCCCAGTCCTAAGGTATACTAGACGTCAAGGGTCCCAGTCCTAAGGTATACTAGACGTCAAGGGTCCCAGTCCTAAGGTATACTAATTGTCAACGGTCCCAGTCCTAAGGTATACGAGACGTCAAGGGTCCCAGTCCTAAGGTATACTAATTGTCAAGGGTCCCAGTCCTAAGGTATACTAATTGTCAACGGTCCCAGTCCTAAGGTATACGAGACGTCAAGGGTCCCAGTCCTAAGGTATACTAGACGTCAAGGGTCCCAGTCCTAAGGTATACTAATTGTCAACGGTCCCAGTCCTAAGGTATACTAGACGTCAAGGGTCCCAGTCCTAAGGTATACTAGACGTCAAGGGTCCCAGTCCTAAGGTATACTAATTGTCAACGGTCCCAGTCCTAAGGTATACGAGACGTCAAGGGTCCCAGTCCTAAGGTATACTAATTGTCAAGGGTCCCAGTCTTAATGATCAGAATAAGTTGGGATTAAGTCTTGTATAATAAAAAAAACATAAGTAAAATTTTGAATAATAAAACTTGTCATCTGACCCCACAGTTGAGCTTGACCATCCAGGATACAGAACTGTGTGCCCTCCAGTGTCTCCGCTACAGCATCTTCATCTGCCAGTAAGTGCTCCCATCACTCCTCCATAAAATCCACCAATAGAACAGTTGACCATTTAACAAGCAGGTTGAATCAGGTTGAGCTCGTCATAGTTTGCCTGGGGGAGTAAATCAGTTAATGTACAGCAGAAACAATCAATTTACAAAAAGCCGAATCCATCATTATTTATGCACACAAACATACATACATGTAAAATAACTTGGCCACAATATGCAACTTAAGTGTATTTCCATACAGCTCATTCTACGAGTGCTCAGGGCTGGGCAGGAACTGCTTCGTCAGCAACTACAAAAACTCCCCTGGAGAGTTCATCAACATCCCCAAGAATTGTTCCCACTACAGCAAGGCCATCATCAAGCACACCAAGGTCCAGAAGACAAATGCTGAGCTCATGCTCTGGCTTCAGCTCATGGTCGATGAGGGCACATTCAATATTAAGGTTGTCTACCAAGATGACCAAGGTCATGTAAGTTTATGAGGTCATATACACCTTTTTGATTGAGTGCATCTCTAAAGTCTAGAACATTTTTGAGGTCTGGTGAACCACTGAGGTCAGCTATGCCACTGAGGTCAAAGCACACCTTTGACATCAGCCACGGCTTCTAAGGTCAAGGAAACTCCCCTGGTCATGTGATTCTATTTGGACAGGACAATATGTGAGCTAAGGAGACCTTTGATTCAGGGGAATCATGAGACCGTACATGTGGGTTCAAATCCCTGTCAGCATAACCTCTCCGGCTAAAACAGGGGAGCTTAGGATTTAGTTGATGTCAGTAGTTTTCCTCACAGATGACTCGATAGGGTGGCAAAAACTTTATCTTCAACTATTGAGACAAATGACTTAAACTTTATCCCCATTAGTTCTAGAAAGTGACAAACTTTATTTTCATCAGTTAATGGCATCATAATCATTTTACGGACATTTTAGATGCTTGTGTAGGTTTTGCCACAGTTGCCACATGGCAGGCAGCTCTTCTTGGTACATGGTCCCTTGCAGTCTCTCTTGTCAGGTTCTTTAGTCTTATGTAATTTTTTACAACCTCCTTTCGTTATTCGTGGCCTACCTCTGGCTCCCCTCCACTCCATATTTAGGCTCATGCATCACTTGATCGGATTGAGGTGGGTGAGTGGATACAGTGTGCAGCTTCTGTCCAGGTCGGTGACTTGATTCCCAGGCATTCCCAGTTCACCCAGCTGTAAATGGGTACCTAAGTTTACAACTTGGGAAAATAAATGTAGTTGAGTGCATTACTGGCCATGCTGCCTCCTTGTGTACCAAAGGCTTAGTACATACAGTGTGCTGTATCCAGACTGTCCCTAACAGGGCAGTCATGTCTATGAGACCCACTTTCACTTCTTTCACCTTTTAACCCAACTGGTTTCATCCACTCTCTCTATATGCCCTTTTCATCTCAGCCAGCCTCTACACGGGACTTCTCCAACACTCTCAACACCCAGATGCCCTCTTACATCTGAACAGGGCCTCCTGTGTTTCAGTGTCACAATAAACATTCACCTCGCCATTCTCATTTCAACTGACTCAAGTCTACTTACATCATCCTCTTTAATTGCCCATGTTTCACTGCCATACAATGTCACACTTTCATTTCAGCCTCATAAATTCTTCCTCTCACTTGAGGGAAGGTCCTCTTGCCGCCAATAAATGAAAAAGTTCCCTAAACTACCTCCAGCCACTTCTGACTCTTGCACTGACACCAGCACTGATCATGTTATCCTCGTAACAGAACTATTGACACAGTCCAGGACATATCACCAATGTTGAGTTTCTCCAGCGTTGCTGTGAGCTCATAGTTACATGCACATACAGAACACTTAAAAGTCGGCAACATCCTGCAGAGTGCCATCTACTCCACTGCACCTCTTTTGTACCCACCTTCCATGGTTGTTGCACAGTACAGTAGTGAATTGTTGCTAGCACCTTTCTTGCAGACAGCACATGGCCTTTTTTCTACTTTCCACCATGGGTCCCCCACCTACACCATTAATAAAGAATAATTTTGACACATTCACTCTTAGGCCCTTTGCCTTTATTCCATCCTTCCATTTCTTAAATTTCTCCACTGCCCCTTGAATACTATCTGCTGTCTGCACTAAGTCATCAGTATACAACAACTCCCAGGGCAGGCCACTCCTGAAGTCCCCTGATATTACTTCCAGCACCAAGATAAACAGAAGGGGGCTCAAGGCAGGTTCCAGATGGACTCCTATTTTAGCTCAAATTCCTCACTTTCCTCAACATTCATTTTTTCAGAGGTTTTTGCGCCCTCATATAATGCCATAACCACTTGAAGAAGGAACATTACCAATCAGTTATGGGAAGTCACAAACTTTATCCCCACAAGTGACATAAACTTTGTAGTAAGAGGAAATAGAACCATATGTTAATAACAATCATCTAAAGATAAATAAAAAAACTGTAGTTATGATTAAAAAGTAATACATATACTGTACAGTATTATCATTCATATAAACTTGGGTCTCATACTGTAACTGATAAACTCTTGATTGGCAGACAAAAACTGCCTGGTACAAAGCGACGAAAGTGGAGGAGGAGCTTATGGCGGACGACCCCATCCTGGTAGACCTGGTGAAGGATGACTACCATAAGGCATACCTGAAGGGCAAGCTGAAGGGCAGCCACACTGACCAACAACTCAAGAAGGTTATTCCTATATACCTACTCCTCACTTTGTACTGTATTGGTCTATCTCCAGCAGGCAGTCAAGGTTGTTTCAACAGTCAATGATGAACTAAACACCTAACATAATTTTAATGTTAATTCAATATTGAGACAATGAGTGTGGTTGTTGTCTATACTGGTGATCATTAGCCTCATTTTTCTTCAACTTTTTGGAAACTTCCTTCGTTAATTTTGAAATATACTGTTAAAAGTCTTCCCAGCTTTATTGTTTCAACATATATACCATAGAAATATTTAAGTGAAGTTAATGTTAAAGTTCAAATGTACACACATGTTGACATAGGTGAGTTACGACTTGTGTTTGGCCACCTGTGAAATGGAGAGGGCCTTCAAGTGTGAGAGCTTCTCCTACTGCTACTACGACAGGTCCTGCTACCTCTCCTCCTACGTGGTCGACATCCCTGTGAACACCAGAGACATCATCTTAAAGACTGACTGTATCATTATGACTCGTGAGTTTGTTTCCTCTCCTTACCTCAGCACGTGAACACTGAACAGTATCATGATTTTACTTTAGCTTCTTAACAAAACCTGATCATTACCTCCCACAACTTCCTTACTGCCCGACCATCACTGGATCATTACCACCTGAGGTGTATCTCACCACCAGTTGTTTATAACCAAACAGGCATCACCTATTCATACCTGAGACACAATCTAAGCATTTTGTATACAGCAGTTGACTTCTACTTTGCCCTTAGGTAAACACACTGATGACTACAGCAAACTAGAGGGGACGGTATACCTAGGGAAGCCCAAAGCAAAAATGGTGGCGCTAGATGCTGGTAAATGTGCCTTCTACTGTGACAACAGCACCTCCTTCACCTGCAGGTCAGCCACTTGTCTAGGACTTAATTAGTTATGTTTATTGCAGTCCATCACATGTAAGTATCTGAATGCAAGGACAACTCACTATTCAGAAAATTTTATAAGTAAGAGTTTTCAAATATTTTCTTTCTGTACTGGAATCAAAGCTTCCTGATTTTTTTTCTATATAGCTTATATATATATATATATATATATATATATATATATATATATATATATATATATATATATATATATATATATATATATATATATATATATATATATATATATATATATATATATATATATACCTGTACTGTATAGAGAACTATTTTTCTATCTCTTGATCTTTTTAAGGTAGTGGGCAGTTATCAAACAGGGGGGTAGACCGTGCTGCCATATGGCATCACAAAAATTGTGACCAGGTTACTGATCTGACTTTCTGCCTCGTTTACACACAATTGCAGCGTTTCAATTGTTTCTCTTACTATTGACAACACAACATACATATACTGTTTCAATTTTTTATCTTTTTTTTAATTGTTGTATTTATTTAAGGTCCTTTATTATTATTATTATTATTATTGCAATAAGGGCAGCCATTAAACCACACTTTAAACAATATAACACATGCACAAACACCTCCATGAGTCAGGTGAGGAAAGACATGTAATGTATTGTACTGTATTAGGCTGACAAAATTAAGACAAGAATATGGTCTGAACATTTTGTCTCTTCTCTAAACTTCATAATCTACTCACAGCTCTCCAGGTATATGTTCTTTTATTTATCTTTAAAATGGTAATTCATGACACGCATGCACACACACACACACACACGAAACAATGCTAAGGTAAATTTTCTATAATTTTTGCAACAATGTTTTTTCTTCATCTATTCAGTCATCTGGCAGTCACACACTTAGCCTTGCTGCCACACATTACTCACAAACATTCACTTGGACTTACATTTTCACCCAGCACCTCACACACCACTCTATGTTGTATGACACCGTGTTTGTTACAAAACTCTATTTCTGACTAAATTTTGTAAGTTTTATGTATTAGAATAATTATGATACTGTTCTTTGTAAAGTACCTGCACATGGATTTTCTCATTTTGGCATTAAATAAGAGGCGATCATTACTTACTTAACCTGGCCATCTCCCGGACATTTACCAATTTAGTCCAGATGATTAGCGTGCAACTCTGACTGGTATCTGCAAAGTAAAATAGGAGTAGAGGCAGGCATAAAACGGAGCAACAGGTGAGAGTAACAGTGATGTGGCCCCACAGATCATTTGACTTTTGTGCCAGTGAGTCCTCCTGCAACCTCTTTGATGAACACTCCATTGATGTCCCTGACAACATGCTCAACCATTCCTATCCAGACTGTGTCCATTATACACGTGAGTAACCCGGTTCAACCCTGCACCCAATACAGTACAGTACAGTACAGTATATGCACATCTTCCTTCACTGTACAATACAGGGTGTCTCATAAGTCACACAATATTATCATCATAGGAAATTTAATGCCTTCTCTTTTTCTTTTTTCGGGTGAAGGAATTATAACAAATCAACAAACATTGGACGATGAGGACCGATTGAGTAGCCACCAAGGGCCCCAGAAGTCATACCTCTCTATTTCTTCCTTTGGGTGTCACATATATGGTTCCTGGACGATCATGGTAGATGAAAGATCTTAGGTGACCCCAGAGGAAGAAATCAAGAGGTGTGAGATTTGGAGGCTTCAGAGACCATTTTAATTGATCCTCGTTGCCCAATTTTTGTTGATTTATTATGATTCTCTCACCTGAAGAAAAGCGATGAATATTAATCTTCCTTTGTTGCACGGCGTGAGACACTCTGTACACGAGTCACATTCTTTATGTGAGTGAGTAACCTATTCTGATCCCACCCGTGTCCACTACTGTACTGTTGAGCATAACTATTACACACAACATTATTATGTACATTACAACTCTGGTTCACCTCTAACACACTACAACTTTGCTCACAAAAGATGTAGACTGTAATGTACTGTGCTGTATACATTATTCTTATTGAATAAAACTAAGTGTGTTACTTCTAGTTCTATCTCATACAGTACATACCTGTACAGTGTACATCCTCTATGTTAAACTTATATGTGCTTTTATCTGCAGTGTATTATACAGGAATACCTCGTTATTTGAAATCCCACTTATCCACAATTTATATTTTAACAGCCCTATTCAATATTCATAAAACATAGCTACCCTGTTTATTCACAAAGAAAAATTACGATACCCTACATTAATATTTAAAACTGCGTGGGCTAATTGCAGCTTTCATATTCCACTGTAAGGCCCGTTTCACATGTACATGTTTTTCCCTTCACGAGGACCTGCACGATTTAGAATTAATGCAATTCAATGGGAGATGTTCACCCCGCACCTGTACCTGCACTGTACTTCCAAACCGAGACGTGAAAAATCACGGCGGACATTCTATGATTCTTCATATGGTAATGGTAAATGCTAGTTTAAATGTTAACACTCTTCTTATGAAGTGAAAGTACTGTATGTGTAGACTTGGCATGTTGCTAAGGACTGTCCCTTTAGCTACAAGGCAAGTTGTGTTATCATTATTTTTCCAACTCGTATTTTTGGGTAGATATACGTAATGTTGTTGTTTCTTTTTTTAGCTCTTTTACGTGTACACACGATCATTTATACAAAATGTGCAAAAGAAAAATTGATTAGAACAAGGTGAAAAACCTAAATGGAATAAATATTTCTTACGTGCTCGGTAGTTAGCACCTGGATCGTGGGAGGAGTAGGAGGAAGCAGTTGGGGGTCTCACCTGCTCCAGTCTCTGGTGTCCCACGTGTAGTGAAACTATTGTCAGCTGGCAATGCAGAATTTTCTTATTTTTTATTTATTAGTCTGTTTTTAATTTATTCCTCTCATGTGTATATTGAAAATTATGTAGTGAAAGTTGCCGGCTAGGAACGCATCCGCTTACTTTCATTTATTCTTATGGGGAATATTGCCCCGATATTTGTAAATTCGTTATTCGCAACTACCTGTACTTCTAGGAATGCATACTTTGCGATAACCAAGGTATTCCTGTGTAAATTTACATGTGCTGGCAAAACTATAATAATTTTCTGACATACTTCATCTTAAAAATACATGTAGAATATTTACTCAGAGGTATTAATTGATGGATGAATAGACAGACAGAGAGATGTGTCAGCACCACACAGGAAAATAAAACTCATTCTCAGATATTAATACAGTATATGGATGGATGGATTGAGAGATAACAGTGCATTATTACGGAAAACACTATTAACACATATGAACCCTCGTGCCAACAGGTAACGCCCTGGTAGACTTCAAAAAACACCCAAATCAGGTGTTGGCAGGTAACCGTGACCGCTATGTGAAGGAGGTGTCCACTACTGAATGTGCCCAGGTGAGTGTTGCCAGTCATGGTTGATGCTCCAAGAAAGTGGTAGTTGCTAGAGACTAATGACAGATATTGAGATCATGGCAGGTGTGAACAGAGGGCATGTTAATAAATCAAACAGGTGCATGTGTAGGTGTAGAGGAGAGTGTATTAACTAAGACTGTGTGTGTGTGTAAGAGAACAGGTGTAGTAACCATGTAACTGTCTGACTACAGGTGTGTGTAATGTAAAGGTTTAATAACCATGTGACTGTGAAGCTACAGGTGTGTGTACTGCACAGGTGTAACAGGTGTAGTAACCATGTCATTGTGGTTACAGGTGTGTGAGAACGAGCCCAATTTTGGTTGTGACGGGTTTGACTACTGTGTCGAAGGTGGAGACATAACCTGCTTCCTCACCTCTGCCCACTACTCTGACGCAGGGATCGTCATCACTAACTCCCCCACCTGTGACCACTACTCCAGTCAGTATCTCTACCTGCCCACCTCACCTCCTCCACACTAACACTGATCTCTTCCTGACCTCCTCCACACTAACACTGATCTCTTCCTGACCTCCTCCACACTAACACTGTTCTCTTCCTGACCTCCTCCACACTAATACTGATCTCTTCCTGACCTCCTCACTCCTGACCTCACTACACTGACACTAACACTGATCTCTTCCTGACCTCCTCCACACTAACACTGATCTCTTCCTGACCTCCTCCACACTAACAGTGATCTCTTCCTGACCTCCTCCACACTAACAGTGATCTCTTCCTGACCTCCTCCACACTAACACTGATCTCTTCCTGACCTCCTCCACACTAACACTGATCTCTTCCTGACCTCCTCCACACTAACAGTGATCTCTTCCTGACCTCCTCCACACTAACACTGATCTCTTCCTGACCTCCTCCACACTAACACTGATCTCTTCCTGACCTCCTCCACACTAACACTGATCTCTTCCTGACCTCCTCCACACTAACACTGATCTCTTCCTGACCTCCTCCACACTAACACTGATCTCTTCCTGACCTCCTCCACACTAACACTGATCTCTTCCTGACCTCCTCCACACTAACACTGATCTCTTCCTGACCTCCTCCACACTAACACTGATCTTCTTTCCTGACTCTCCTCCACACTAACACTGACTGACCTCCCACACTAACACTGATCTCTTCCTGACCTCCTCCACACTAACACTGATCTCTTCCTGACCTCCTCCACACTAACACTGATCTCTTCCTGACCTCCTCCACACTAACACTGATCTCTTCCTGACCTCCTCCACACTAACACTGATCTCTTCCTGACCTCCTCCACACTAACACTGATCTCTTCCTGACCTCCTCCACACTAACACTGATCTCTTCCTGACCTCCTCCACACTAACACTGATCTCTTTCCCTGACCTCTCCACACTAACACTGGTCTCTTTCCTGACCTCCTCCACACTAACACTGATCTCTTCCTGACCTCCTCCACACTAACACTGATCTCTTCCTGACCTCCTGACACTCAACACCTGACCTCTCCACACCTCACTGACCTGACCTCCTCCACACTAACACTGGATCTTCCTGACCTCTCCACCTCACACTGTTCTCTTCCTGACCTCCACACTAACACTGATCTCTTCCCTGACCTCCACACTAACACTGATCTTCCTGACCTCCTCCACACTAACACTGGATCTCTTTCCTGACCTCCACACTAACACTGATCTCTTCCTGACCTCCTCATTAACACTGTTCTTCCTGACCTCCTCCATACTAACACTGATCTCTTCCTGACCTCCTCCACACTAACACTGATCTCTTCCTGACCTCCTCCACACTAACACTGATCTCTTCCTGACCTCCTCCACACTAACACTGATCTCTTCCTGACCTCCTCCACATGTTACTCCTCTCACAATATTCTCCTTCTGCTGTTTCATATTTTCTTCCTTTTTTTATGGCTCTAAGATGAGATTTTTTGAAGTACGGTAAGTAAAATGTACTGTATCCCTAATAGATCCAGCATTAGTCTTTTTTCATCAGAATTTGCATGTTAAATATGCCCAGTATTATATTAATTTCTGATCCTATATCACTATAAATCTCTAATTATATATAACAATAATTTCGAGTATTACATCTATATAATATACTGTAATGTTTTTTATGTGTCTAGTTATGCCTCAAACAAATTCACAGATTGAAGAAGTTTCCAATTTTATGCTTAACCTAAATTTTTGGAACATGAATTACACTCGTGCTGTGGAGTTTCCATCACCTGTTAAAAGTTAAATTAGTTTGCTATTTTTTTGGTATGAGTTTAGAGGAAACACTAATGGTAAATTATTAACCTAGAAGTACAGTAAAGTAGTGTAGATGTTTGGGTCCAGGTGTACTGTACTGCGGTGGTGATGAGAGATGTTTGTCCTGCAGGAGAATACTACGAGGGAGATGACAGAGACTCACACGCCAACAAGAGGTCGTCAAAATACATCTATGGCCCAGGTCAGTCCTCAGTACAGGTAAACCCCAATTTACAATCTCTCTATTCACGATGGTGATGTTTTGAGACCACTTCCCTATTTATGACAAAAAAAATTCGCATTAACGATAGCCATTGTCCAGCCGACCTCGCTGACACACGGAATGCATTCCTGAAAAACTGACGGTTAAGCGAAATGATCAATAAACCATAGATAACGAGAAATAATATCCACGGAGATGGCAAGTAATTGTGTATCCAAGTCACCAATTTGCCACCCAGTAGCATCAGAGCGGGTGAGGCCGAGTTGTGAGCTCTTAATTTTGGGTATATGTACAGACATACCCTGATAACCGACACATAACATAAGAATGGAGGAAACTGCAGCGGGCCTATTGGCCCACACTGGGCAGTCCCGTTTACACCCAACCCCTATTGCTCATATAAGCATCCAACCTATGTTTGAATCTATTCAGCGTATTCGAATTAATGATGATATTTGGTAACTTGTTCCATTCATCCACTACTCTGTTTCCAAACCAGTGTTTACCTATTTCACGCCTAAATCTAAATTTGTTTAATTTAAAAACCATTGTTACGAGTTCGCTCCTGGTTGGATAGTTTGAGTACCTTTGTAATGTCCCCTTTGTTTAGCCCTGACTTCCATTTATACACCTCTATCAGGTCGCCCCTCTCTCTACGTCTCTCGAGGGAGTGCAAATTATGATGCTTTAACCTGTCTCTATACTCAAGCTTCCTAATGCCCGGGATTAGTCTTGTCATTCTCCTCTGAATTATTTCCAAGGATTCTATATCCATTTTGTAATACGGTGACCATAACTGAACTGCGTAATCCAGGTGTGGTCTCACAAGCGCAAGATACAGTTTTAGGATGACCTCGCTAGTCTTGTAACTAACACTCCTTTGTATGAACCCAAGTACTTTATTAGCCTTGTTACGAGCAAAAACACATTGTTTACTTGGCTTAAGGTTCCTACTTATCATTACTCCTAAATCTCTCTCGCAGTCGGATTTCTCTATGCCATCGTTGTTCATCTGGTATCTGGTTTCCCTGTTTACATCTCCTATACTGAGTACTTTACATTTGTCCACGTTGAATTTCATCTGCCATTTTTCAGACCATTCGAAAAATTTGTTTAGATCTTCCTGTAGTTTTGCGCAGTCCTCGTAGATTTAATAACACGTCCTATTTTAGTGTCATCAGCAAATTTACTTATGTTGCTGTCTATGCCGATATCTATGTCGTTTATGTATATAATAAATAACAATGGTCCAAGTACTGAGCCTTGGGGAACTCCACTGGTGACGTTGCTCCAATGGGACTTAGTGCCGTAAATGCTCACTCGCTGTTTCCTGTCCTGTAACCATGCCCTAATCCATTTAAGGATATTACCTTTGATGCAATGTGCTTCTACCTTTCTAATTAGTCTTTCGTGGGGGACTCTGTCGAAGGCTTTGCTAAAGTCGAGATATACTACATAATAATTGTGCCCCTCGTCCACTGCTTCGAAAACTGATGAAAAGAATGTTAATAGATTAGTTAGACATGAACGGCCGCTTGTGAAGCCATGCTGGGAATCATTGATCAATCGGTGCTTCTCCAGGTGATTTCGAATAGAGTTTGAAATGATTGCTTCCAGTAATTTGCCTACTATTGATGTTAGACTGATTGGGCGGTAGTTAGAGGATAGTGATCTATCCCCCTTCTTGAAAATCGGTATTACATTCTCTATCCTCCAGGATTCTGGTACTACACCTGTTTTTAAGGACATGTTAAACAACTTTGCGAAGGGCATACTAAGCTCTTTCTTACATTCCTTTAATACTCTGGCAAATATCTCATCGGGACCAGGTGACTTATTAGGCTCTAGTTTGTCTATTTGCTTACTAACATCGTTACTAGTCACTACTATCTCACTTAATTTGTTTTCTTCACTATCTCTGAATAGAGTCGGTGCCTCGGGTATCATGTTTAAATTTTCGGTGGTGAAAACTGTTGAAAAATATTTATTCAAATTATTGCTCATTTCTCCGTCGTTATCAGTGAGCTCGCCGGTATCTGACCGTATTGGTCCAATCTTTTCTCGTGTTTTAGTTTGATACATTTGGTAGAATCCTTTGGGGTTTGTCTTCGCCTCCCTTGCTATCCTTACTTCATTATTCTTCTTGGCTTTCCTTATCTCGGTTTTAACCCAACTCCCCAATACCTTATAATAATCCCGGAGGTAAGTTTCGCCACGATTTATCCTTCTACCTATAGCCTTCCTTTGGCCAATGATGTTCTTTAAATAATTATTTATCCATTTAGGGTCAATGTTGTCTGATCTGAGTTTTTTGTATGGTATGTTCTGCCTTTGTGCATTAAGTAACTCATTATTTTAATTGTCGTGGAACTCGGCAATCTCAGATCTCGTTATCAGGTCGATGTCATCTGTCAGGTTAACGCCCAAGCGTGACACCCCCTCTCTCAGCTGCCTCTTTAAACTGTCAAAGTTCATAGATATTAATATATTTAACCCCTTGTGTATTGGACTCCTTAAGAGCTGAATAAAATCATCTGGCATAAGCCAACTGAAATATTAAAGTGGTGTCCCCATAGTGAAGGTGTAGAATATAGAGAATAAGTTATGGAACACACTCAGAGAGAGCCTCCACTAACACCACCTCCTCTTCTTCAGGTGACATGGCTGGCCTAGGTTGCTCCATGCTGGTCATCTCTATCGCGTTCACCTTCGCTGGGGTCTACGCCTATAACAAACACTACAAGGTGTAGGGGACATACACCGGCTGTTCACTCTGTTTTACAAGTCATGTTTTGAATTAATGTTAGTGATCTTTTTATGTCACCTTAATGTATTGTATAATAAGCAAATGATAAAAAAAATCAAATTTACACAGACACACATACAAAGAGAGACACACACACACACACTGTACAGTAAATTAATAAAATCATCCCAAATACACACATAAACTAGCACTTTGATCTGTGGTCCTGTAACAAGTTTAACTAACATCACAGTAGGAGAGGAGCTCTGGCTGAGAACAAGACAAGACTAAGTGGCTTGGGATGACTCAGTATCCAGTTTATTCTCGCCCAGACCACCAAAATGTTTAGTGTTTTTCTTTGGCTTCATAAAAAATTAACAAGAATACTCGCAAATGCCGATATTATTTCCGTCCTTTTTTATGTTAATTACAAGTCTTTATGTATCCTAACAACAGAATGGCCTCATTAATGTACAGTCTCTACCATACTTTTTTGGATATGCCGTAATAAAGAATGTTTTTTTTTTAATAAGAACAACACATCAATCAAGACGGTGTTAGGTGATACAAACTGTGACTTGAAGATTTGAATTATAATGATATTAGTACAGTAAGTGAATATCAGCAATAATATTCACACTTTGATCAATAAATGTTACTTGTGCTTCACCATAACATGTTGTGTCCCCATGCTCAGCTTTATAAACTGACCATCGTCATTTAAGTTTTCTTTTCATGTTAATATTATGTACTGTATGTAGTTAAGAATTAAAGGTGAAAAATAATGTTTTCTTTTCCATCAATGTCTCTGCCACCATTTTTGAGAAGTTATGTATGGGCATCCTTTGGGTTACGAAAGGGTTCCGTTCCTGAAAATCTTTCCGCAATCCGAAACTCCTTATTGCAAAACCATTTTTCCCATTGAATCCCATTATATAAGTTGAGATGCATTCCTATAGAAAATTTTTTGAGGCTCAAAAACGTAGTAGGCAGCTACCAAACAGGGAGGTACTACCGCCTGGGAAGATATTGGAAGCATAATATGCTGTCTAATGGTAGACCCTGCTGCCATATGGCATCACAAAAATTGTGACCAAGTCCCAGGTTGATTATCTGTTCTTTTGCCTCACGCACAATTGCAGGGTCTCAGTTGTCTCTCTTACTATTGACAACACAACATATATAACTTTTCTCACTCTTAATCTGTTTTATTCTATTCTTTTACATTATTCTCCTATGAACTGACAGTCCCTAGCGTATCTCGGGGACCAGATGGGGTGACAGTACTCCAGATGGGGAAGCACTTCACTTCAGGAGTGAAGTGCTTCCCCATCTGGAGTACTGTCACCCCATCTGGTCCCCGAGATATGCTAGGGACTGTCAGTTGGTTGAAAATGTTCAAAGGAGGGCCACCAAACTGGTGCATGCACTTCGGCACCTCAGCTACCCTGAGAGATTGGAGCGCCTGAACTTGCCTAGCTTATACTACAGACGGGCAAGGGGGGACCTAGTTGAGGTGTATAAGCATCTCAGGGGGCACTACTCAGTTGAGTGTCCTTACTTGGAGCTGGCGGACGCTCGCCCCACAAGGGGTCACAGCTCAAGATTGAAGAAGCTGCAAGTCCAGAAAACTGTGAGGGCAAACTTTTTCGGAGTGAGGGTTGTAAACTCTTGGAACAATCTACCAGAGAGTGTTGTGACGGCACCGAGTGTGAGCTCTTTCAAGACAAGACTTGACCAACACTGGAGCGGGTTCAGGTACATTCAGGAGCCGGTGCATGCCCAGTATTTGCCAACAGTGCGTGACAGAGACGTGACCGATCGCCCGGGCGGCTAGCGAGCCGACCTTTTGGTGAAGAATATAAATGAAAAGAGACGTGACCGATCGCCCAAGCGGCTAACAAGCCTTAATGGGTAGTTATCGCTGATTGGTAATAGATCGATACATACATACATACATACATACATACATACATATATATATATATACATACATACATATATACATACATACATACATACATATACAGATAGAAACACAGGCCGGTCAGTGGCGAAGAAGATAAAGAGAAATAATTTAAATATTATACAATAAATAAGTAAAACAGTTACCCATAAAAGATTCGTTTTCTCTTATTACGTCATCAAAGAAAACGAACGTAAATAAACAGTTACGAGAATGAGATTAAATACAAGACTAATTAAATGACTTTGAATGAAATTAAAAGCGGAATTAAATGACTTTGAATGAGATTAAAAGCGGGATTAAATGACTTTGAGATTAAAAGCCGTATTAAATACTTTGAGTGAGATTAAAACTATTACTATAGTACTAATTATAATAATAACAATAATTAAACTATGGGTTATTTGTGCGGGAAACATTATAGAAATGCCATAGAAGACAGTCCCAGGGAGTGCCAGAGGGAATCAGCATGTCCCAGGGAGTGCCAGAGTGTTCCAGCGTGTCCCAGGGAGTGCCAGAGTGTTCCAGCGTGTCCCAAGGAGTGCCAGCGTGTCCCAGGGAGTGCCAGAGTGTTCCAGCGTGTCCCAGGGAGTGCCAGCGTGTCCCCAGGGAGTGCCAGAGTGTACCAGCATGTCCCAGGAGTGCCAGAGCACCAGGCAAGTCCCAAGGAGTGCCAGAATGTCCCAGGGAGTGCCAAAGTGTTCCAGCATGTCCCATGGAGTGCCAGAGTGCTCCAGGGAGTGCCAGAGTGTACCAAGGAGTGCCAGAGTGTACCAGGGAGTGTCAGAATGTCCCTGGGAGTCCCAAAGTGTTCCAGCATGTCCCAGGGAGTGCCAGAGAGTTCCAGCATGTCCCTGGGAGTGCCAGAGTGCTCCAGCGCGTCCCAGGGAGTGCCAAAGTGTTCCAGCAAGTCCCAAGGAGTACCAGAATGGCCCAGGGAGTGCCAGAGTGTTCCAGCGTGTACCAGGGAGTGCCAGAGT